ATAGAGGCTGCTCCCGCTCCCCGACTTGTAAAGGTTGCACCTCGTGTGTGTGCTTTGGTTGCGAAATATGTCGCTTTACTGACTGCAGCTGCCAGACATGCAGAGACTTCACAAGCAATGCAAGAGCTCAAGTCTGATGCATTCGATCTCGATATTGATCGGCTTTTCAACAGGATCCTCTTCATCCTGCTCCTCTTTTACAAGGAAGCTACAGTTAACCAATTTCTCCTTGTCCCAAAGACTTTCTTGAATTTGCCCACCAGCATTTTGCAGCATTGATGTAATTGACTGGCTAAATCATGAAAAAACGAAGCATTTGTTTCTCCTCATCAAAAGTTTCTTTATGCACCGGCAGGGTTTCAGTTGTCCTGGTCGACAACTACGAGGAAACCTTGGTATGCGTATCTGTTAGTCTGCTTAAGCTTACCTTGTTGTTGGGTCCCAATATAGTTGGAGATATGCTTGATAAGTCGCAATATGCGGCATCATATTTGATAAGCAGGAGAAGATTTGTTGGGTAATCAAAATGGACACGGATCAATATCCGGTGAACGTATCTGTTTCTGATCTCATTTGGCGGTACATCTTTGCAGACTGCAGAATCCTCAGGATTATGACAAACGCCCGAATTTCCCCTGTAAACGAAGTAATTTCAATGGTACGTAGAGGGGACGAGATTTTTCTCTACTTGAGCAGGCACAAGCTTGACAAAAGCAAAATGTGCACGTAGAGCATTCTCTTTGGTTTAATTTCCTTTTGTCATAGAAAATTCGGAAACCTGGGATTGTTGCGCGTTGGTTGACATGCACCCTGTTTTGTGTGAATTAAGAATGTCCGTGAAGAATGTCCGAAGACTCTGAACTCCGTACACGTGGTACGGTGCCAAAGCAAATGCAGAGAGCAGAAGGGATAAATCGCGCATGAGGATCATGAAATAGGATGAAAAGTCACAGCTTAGAAGGACAAAGCTAGACGTGAAGCAAGCATGCATGCATTAAGTTTTCCACCGTAAAGAGTCGATAAATTAACAGGATTATGATGAAAGGAAATTGGTTTCCACTGAGAAGGATAAAATCTTCCTTGAGATTTTCATAGCTGATATACTTCGAATGAACGTGAAGAAGCTGCAGGTGGAATCTGCAGCGAGAGATAAAGGAAGTGAAAATCTGAACCACATACAGCAACTCAGCCGAATCACGCCTGTATATATTTACGTTAATAATGCAACAGCAGCATACACAAGAGCTGGTTGCACAAGAGCTTGCCTTTTAAAATAGCGTGCATAGGTTTGCGTGTGCGAGAGAGAGAGAGAGATAGTACTGTGTTCGTTTGTTTTGTAGGGTAAATATGGTGCGACTGCAAGCAGCTATGTATGATGTTCTTGTTCCCAACAGCTGTGTGGCTGGTGGAATTAGATCAGAAGACTTTGTGGCCAAGTTTTGTTCCAAACGACGATCTTCTACTGTTGTCACATATAATGCTATCGGTGGATTCGCACCAGGGTTTTAGTTCTATCCATGTAAGCATTTTTTTATGACTCGCTGATAATCTGGAACAGATTGTGTACTCTCACAATCTCAATACTTGTCTTTCATGTGGTTTGGCATATAAAGCCCGCGAGTTCATATTTATCTGAGTGTCCTTTCAGTGATTCTTGTGAGTTTTCTTGGATCAAGTAGCTAGCTGAAGGACAAATCTTTTCCTGTTATGATTTTAATCTACGAACCGTGTTAGATAATCACCCATCACACGGCTTTCCCCATCTCTAGGCTTCACAATTACCATGACTGGTATATGGATCTCTTTTGTTGAGCAGTTGTAGTAGGGAATGATCACGAACATGTAAGACGTTTCGATTTAACATTGAACTTGTTACCTCGAATGGCCTCAGCGTCAGCGGCTTCGTGCTGCACTGGAGTAATCCAATACGTGGCTCCCATGTGGCACGTTAGAGGGTCTTAAGTCGCGCAGTGAAATCTTAGTTATTCATTCAATCTATCATCAAATTTATGCAAAGAAACATTACAGGCAATTTGGCATTAACAAAGCTTGACCCAAAAGATCCCAGAAGAAGGATCTCTTAGAAGGAAACCACATTTGTAGAGAGATAAAATAGGCTTCATGACTGAACAATGCGGACAAGATTACCCTTGCACGGAGAACAAACCGATACAGTTAGTCCGATTATAACCAGACGATCATGCTGATGACACCTTAGGTAACCAAAAGTTTGTGTCATTACTCATTAGGCTGATACACAGTGATTTGTAGAAGGTTTTCATAGACTTTGTTCCTAAAGGTTGCCTAATAGTTCTCCAAGTTAACTTCAACTACGTGTGCTCTTCGTCCTGGGACTATATAACCATATCACTTGGGATCTTTGCAATGTGCAGGGCAGGGTTAGAATGGGGCGGCTAGGGCCAATCCCTGATAGGTATAGTTAGGGGCGCGCTTGATTCAATTTGGGAACAGCGAGAAAGAGTTTCAGAAACATAGACTAGACCGATATGATATTAAGGCAAAAAGAAAAAAATGCAGCTAAGAACAAGCAAAAATGATCATGTCGACTTAACCACCCGACCCTAAACCGAATTAGACCGAGAACTTCCGTATGGTTTTGCTCGGTTCGAACCGGCGATGATAAGGGACCCGACTTCTGCTTCTGCAAGCTCTCTCTGTGCTGTCATGTGCTACGTACGTTTGCGGATTTCACTCGGGCGTTTTTATGAGCTTCAACCTCCCTAGTGAGCTGCACACAGCTGTAGCATTTCATTTCACTAAATGGTACGTATGCATATGGGTGTCAGGTTGACCAGACGCCAACAGTATCTGATTTCTCAATGTTTTTGCATAGCCGCCTACTAGTCGTGATTCAATTTAATGCCGCATTGAAAATCAGCAAAAAAAGTCAAACACAAGAGATTGCATTTTCTACGAATATCTTAGTTTTTGTATCTATTCGTATAATTTATTTGGATTTTGATTGGGGGGTGGTGCATGCAATTCAATTCCAGTCGTCATTAAATGAAGAGAGTCTGAGAGAGAAGCGACGGAATAATGGGGTTCCATACCGCTCGCCGGCTCAAAAGTCAACTTTCAACTAAATATTTTCATGGTCAACTGTATAGTAAATGAGGCGGTTTTCATGGAGAAACTGCTGCGAAGTTCAAGATTCTGGGTGCAAGCGTGCGTGAACTGTTGACTTTCTTCTTAGCTGCGACACGCATTGTGATTATTTCGTCGAGTTTTATGATTTCAGCGTGTTACATGATGAGCGCGACGAAAGTTAGGGAGGTTCATGAATAGTACACTCTGCATGAAGTTAATCAACCCTTCTTCAATATGGGTTGAAGTTAAGGAAAAGTTAGCTGTATGATCTCTTGCTTAAGCAGTGGGTTTGCAAGATTTAGAGGTGCATGAGGAGAATCGTCGCGCTCTGAATTCGGAGTAGGAGCCGAAGGGCGCGGCGAAAGTTAGAGAGATTCGTGAATAGTACACTCTACATGAAGTTAATCAACCCTTTTAAATATGATCACTTGGTTGCATTTTTCTTCCCTTGAGACTCTGTGCTTAGGCAACTTTATAGACTCCTTTCGAGGATAATGTTCATTCCTTCGTCGGAATAAAGGCAAACGATTCATGATGTGTTAAAAACTAATTGAGGGTTCATAAAGGAGAGAAAAAAAAAGAAAAAAATGTACTGTTTCTCGAAACTCGATCTCTTCTCAAATGGCCGACCTAATCATCTTACCTCTCTATGTTCTTGAGATTTCTATGACCTTCTTAGTTTTCGGACACACCATCTCATTGAAGCGCTTGTCTCTCTTTGTGCTCAGTCTGCTTATTCATCTACGCTCTGGCACACTGTGAGCGAGGATTCTTGCTGTAGCACAACCTTACATCTAGCCATGGTTGCAACACTCCGACGTAACCAAGTATAAATCGTCGTAAAGCGGGTTTCTTTTTGTGCTTTACGCGTTACGGGGTTTAACTAGGTGCAATTATCCAGTCCAAAACCGTACCTTGGCAAATACTAAAAAAATACATCATTATAATTACGGGAGGATCCAGCAATTCTCACCTACTTGGTGTAAATGCAGAAGGCATTGGTGTACTGTAAACTCCAGCCAAGAGAAAGCTGTGTGTCCTTTTGCTTTCCTTTTCCCATGTCGAGAAGGAGACACATTCAATTGAAGATTGAATGGCTCTGAGGCTCAGAGAAAATGCGCAAATACCTCTGAGCGGGTCGGTCCAGCTTTGCCTATCTCAGGCATGTGTTGTATTAAATTTCATGGATCAGAAGCGACAGATACATTCATCCACCTTTAGTACAACACACCCCTAATTTGTACCAGAGATTATACTTAATAGCCTAAGCATAACATGTTAATTAACACGTGTGTGTAAACTTTGAATTCAGAAAATTACATTCCATTCTGCTGAAAATATTAGATACGCTGTAATTTATCACCCTCCACGAAATTACGACGGATCACGTAAAAAATTTTACTTTTTGTCTTGCTTGCACCATGGTGGTGTTAGTCTATTATCAGTCATGGCTCATAGACCAGCCGGCATCGGGTTGGTGATGATGGTCCACTCTTCCGAGCTTCGAGCAACTTGTGCAAATTCTCTCTCTCTCTCTCTCTCCGCAATAACTCAGCAATGTCAAGCTGTCGGGTTTTCACAGCTATCCTACCGATTCTTATTAAGACACGGCTTCTCTATTTTTCTGCTTTTGCACATTTATATGGAAGAAGAGGAAAAACAGAAGCAAAACGAAGAGAGCAAAGCCATTTTCTCGCATTCTTGAGGGTGATGACCCTTCTGGAGTCTGATATCTGATGTGCAAAGTGCCTGCAGATCTTGGGTTAGACATGGTAATGCAGTTGCTTCATGGAAATTCACTCAGTGTCTGCTTTTTAGTAGATTGCAAATGGCAAAAGAAAGAGAATTATTAACCCAAAGAAAAAGAATAAAAGAACAAAACGCATAGCTCATTACCCGTTTGAACTCATCAGATTATATAATTTGCACCACCCTTGAAGAAAATCAAGAGAGCATGAAGATACATGTCATTACCAAAATACTAACTTCCCTAACCAAAGTCATCGATCATCATCTAGCAAAAGAATAAGAACGGAAAAGATGGAAAGAATCCAGACCCATAGAAATCTAGTAACTACATAAGTTAACATGTTGGACCAAGCCAAGCGAAGCAAACACATTACACTCCGAACAAAAATGCACGGCTTCTCCCTCAACTTCATCCGTAGGACCGAAGAATGGCTCCACAGAAGGTGCAGATTATGGCTCTCCAGGACTTCCAATAAAAGGGAACGCAGATAAATCGAGTGGCAGTTTTCATGTCAGCGACGCTGGCCCCGCCGCCGCACCTCGAGCAGATCCCGGCCGCTGGCTTGCTGCTCTTCACCTTCCTCTTCTGATCCACAAGAAAGCAGAAGAACACCATCGTACCGCTTGTCTAACTATTCTTCTCCACAAGATTCGCTCTTTGCTTTTGGGGTTGAGAGTTCTCAGATTTTGGGGGTTGATTGATTCTGGGTTTTGGTAGTTTTGAGGAGAGGAATGGCTTTAGTCAGCTGAAAAGAGACGCAACTTAAAGCAATTTATACATGGGGAGGTGGTGGGGGAGTTAATGGTAGGAGCAACTCTAGTACGGCAACTAATGAATGAGACTATCCCATTGGAGGCTAAAAAGGACTCTCAGGTTGGGTATACTGTGAGCCATCTGGGTACGTGCGACCTGCGTTGACAGTTGGCAGATCCAACTTTTAGGTAGAGACATCCTTGTATAACCCTATAACTTGATATCACACACTGATCAAACGCTCTTGCTTGTGACGATATGTCGAGATGCCATTTGACCTGAGGCGTTGCGTGGAAGACTTTCTCATTTGACGGTTGTGAGAACTCTGCCACGAGGACCGGCCATTGGACAAGGCTGCTGTCTCACATTTAGTGAGGCATGTGGGCTTTTTCCTGGAGTGAGTTCAGGTGGCAGATGGGCCTCCTTTTAGTAGGCTTTGGTTTTCAATGGGAGCCATCTCAATCAAGAAGACGGGCAGATGATAAGAAGCTAACAGATATGAGTAGCTAAGGGTGCGAATGGTAACCATTCTGCTCCAGAAATCAAATTCTTGCAAGAAATTGATTTCTGGAATTCTTGCCAGAAATTGATTTCTGGAGGAGAAATCTGTTTGGTAAAACATGACTAATTCTGCTCCAGAAATCTGTTTTGATTTGTTGATTTTTTTTGCACCTAAAAAAATTTAAATTTTACTCAAAGTGGGTGGCCACATGTATTATAAGCCATTCTGTAAAGTTTTGAAATTTTTGTTTTTTTTTAATTTTTTTTGGGCACCCAAAAAAATTTAAATTTCACTAAAAATAAGTGGCCACAGGTATTCTAAGCCATTTTGTGAAATTTTTTTATTTTTTTATTTTTTTATTTTTTTGGACACCTCAAAAAATTTAAATTTTACTTAAAGTGGGTGGCTACAGATATTCTAAGCCATTCTATGAAGTTTTGAAATTTTTTATTTTTTTTTTATTTTTTTGGGCACCTCAAAAAATTTAAATTTCACTCAAAGTGGGTGGCCACAGGTATTTTAAGCCATTTTGTAAAGTTTTGAAAATTTTTATTTTTTTATTATTTTTCTTTTTTTTTTGCACCTCAAAAAATTTAAATTTCACTCAAAGTAGGTGGTCACAGGTATTTTAAGCCATTTTGTGAAGTTTTGAAATTTTTGATTTTTTTTTGCACCTCCAAAAATTTAAATTTTACTCAAAATGGGTGGCCACATATGTTTTAAGCTATTCTGTGAAATTTTGAAATTTTTGATTTTTTTTATTTTTTAAAAAAAAATTCACCAAATTTCATATTTTCCCGAAATCTGACTTTTTTTTATTTTCTGGAAATTTTTATGAATTTTTCTAGAATTTTTCAATTTTTATGCATTTTCTGAAAAAAAAAATTGTGAGAAAATAGGGAGAATGCATTCGAATCAAGAAGCTACAAAAGTAGCTTCTCTTTTCTTGCCAAAAACTCATTCCGAATCAAAATGCATTACGGAATCAAGTATTTTTAACAAACGCATTTTTATTCCAGGAATGCAAAAATCGCTCCAGAATGCATTCCGAAAATTTTTTAACAAACGCCATTCTGTTCCGGAATGCATTCCGGAACAGAATTTTTATTCCGGAATGCATTCCATGCGCACCCTAAAAGAGATCCAGAGAAGAATGTAGACCCCAACAGAAGCTGTGAAAGTCAGGACCATGACTGATCTCTCCTTGCCATGAGGATGGAGGAGAAGTGTAGTTGAGATTAGAATCAACAGATTGTGTAGAGAAAATAGATATTCCTAGTGATGAGTACACTTATTCGAGCGCCAACAGTGTTGCAAGAATTGACGAACGCTCAAGTCCATGGGATGGGATGGCCCAGAAGTTGCTGATAAATAATTAAAAAAGGGAAAAAAAAAAAAACAGGGTTGTTGCCATATTATACAACCCCTACATGCCTGCTTAAGTTTCCCGCCAACCAGTCAGCGACTCAGCATTGCAACACACCAAGTCGATAAACTTTAATGCAACCAAAAACAGTATGAATTTCAGAGAATAGGGCCAAGCAAATTTTCCGAAAACATGCAATATTCATTCCATATCGATTATTCTGGTAAAATATGGTTCCCCCACCAATAAATTTTTAATGCGTTCACATGTTAGTCCTACTGCACACCAAATTCCATCGCAATAAGATAGTAACAAACATGGCATCTCAAATAGTATAAACAAATTTATGCGGGAAAAATTTCAGGAAAGAATGATGCACAAGGTGCTTCAGGATACAGGAATTTCCTATTTGAAAGCTCAGGCTATACAACTGACACTAAGGACTAGAGCTACATCCCTCATTTTCAAATTCAGAATCAGAGTTCTGTTGCGGCTCAAAGGCGAATCTCATCTCCTTATTAACCAACTCAGCGAGATCAGGCCTTTTTGCATTTCTGTACGCCTCTGCCACTGCCTCAAACAAGGACTCATTCGGCTCAATTTCTCTATATTTTAGTTGACTATGAACCCGTCTCACCCCTTCGATCATACCCGATTTGCCATAACAACCAACCAGAAAAATGTAAGTAACGTGATCAGGCTTCACACCATCGTCTTGCATTTTCATATATATGTTCAGAGCCCGATCAACGTCCCCTAATGCACCATAGACGTATATACATACATTATATACAAAAGAATCGAGAGTAAGCTTTGCTTTGGAGAATACTTCACAGGACTCGAATGCTAGAGCATGCAAGCCCACGACAGAGAAAACAGAGGAAATTATGGCTTGTCTCGCATAAGGTTTACCTTCATGGTAGGATAATTCCAGCTGGTTAACAGCTTCGATAGCCATACCTCCCTTCTTCAACACCGTAAATATTACTCTGAAGGTCCCACTATCGGGTAAAAGCTTTCGAGTCACCACCATCTCATGCAACAACTCACCACACTGATACAGTTGGCCATTAGTGGCATAGCATGCCATTACCTTATTATATGAAGGACAATCTCTCAATAAACCTGCTTGTTTCATCTCCTCGGCAACCGCAATGGCTTCATCAAGCATACCCATGTTCTTATACAGATACATCATGCTTGCAAAAGAAACCCCATCCGCCATATTTTCTTCTCTCATGCCATTGAAAATGAGTTTTGCTTCAGATATCATGCCCAGATCTGCATAAAGACTGATCATACTGTTTGATGCAATGACGTCCAAACCGCCCTGCATATTTTTCATCCTTTCGTACACAGATTTTGCTCCTTCCAAGCATCCTACTTTACTGTAAGCCTTGATGAGAGAAGTCAAAACTATCTTATTTGCTGGAATTCCACATTGTTCCATCCAATGGAAATATCGAAGAGCTTCTTCAACTCTTCCAGCTTCAGCAAATCCATTTATTAGAGAACCATACACAACTTCATTTGGTTTAACCCCTGCCTTTTCCATTTCATCGTACGTGTCAGCTGCATCAGAAAGCTGGCCCAGGCGAGCATAGCAGGCAATCACAGCAGAATAAGTCATAGTTTGGGGTTTAAAGCCAAGTCTTTGCGTTTCAAGTAAGAGACTTTTAGCTTCTTCTACCAAATCACCCCCAGCAAACATCTGAACAAGAGAATTATAAGTGCACTCATCAGGCCATGTGCCCTGATTTTTCATGCTCTTGAAAAGGGAAAAGGCTTTATCATAAAGCTTTGCCTTACCATAAGCTTTGATCATGACGTTGTATTCCAAGACATCCTTCTTCTGCCCAATGCTTTTCATAAAAAAGACGCATTCAGCTTCAGCCCAAAAACCCTTTTCAGCGTAAGCATCCATAATTGCTGCTCGTGTTTTCGGGAGTAGCTCCCGATCATCCTGAAAATTCTCAAAAAGAACTTTAGCGCTATCAAGCAACCCTTTGTTCACATACATCTTAACTATATCAGGAAGAGAATGCTCATCAATATTGCTGCCAGACTTTCGAATTTGTTCAATGACACTCACCACCTCTTGGACCATATTCCTCTTGCATAATATATGGATAACAGCTCGGCGTGTCACAGCATCAGGGAAAAGACCAACTTCCCTGATCTTTCTATAACAATCGAGGGCCGCATCAATGTTCCCTGCCTCGGCATATAAAGATAGAAGGATATTATAAGTCTTTGTATCAGGAGATATTCGCCTTCCGTCCATTTCGTTCAGCAGAGCTTCGGCTTCAGACAAGTGGCCATGACTTCCGCAAGTAAAAATCATGGTATTGAAGGTAATGATATCCATGGGAACCCCAGAACTCAACATTTCTCTAAACACGGCGGCAGCATCCTTCAGGCGCCCTGCCTTCCCATACAAATCGATAAGAGTATTATACGTCGACGTAAGTCGTGGCTTCCTAGCAGAATTCTCTGAATCATTGGAGCCCATAATTTTCATTCTCCCACCTATCTTAAAGAGCTCGGTCGACAGAAAATGCTTATAACTAACAGGTGCTAAGCCAAACCCATCTTCAGACTCAACCATCGAATCCAATTCGAGATCGTCCAGCTCGACCCGCCCATCGCACCAACCCTTGTAGAACCTCTCCGCCCTATCAAACTCTGCAGCGTCCTTCAAAACCCTGACGACAGTGTTCATGGTGACCTCGTCCGGAAACATACCCCTCAACTTCATATGCTTGATCCACAAGAGCGCTTCTTTCACCATACCCGCTTTCCCATACACGTCGACGAGCATCCCGTACGTGTTATGAGTGGGAAAGACACCCTTTTGCGCCATCTCGATCCAGCACCTCCTCAGGTCGTCCCATTTCTGGGCCCTGCCCAACGCCCTCAGCACGATATTGTAGTGAATCACATTGGGCGCGTAATCCTCCCGGGACTTGAAAAACTCCCAGACCCGAACGACCCTCTCGCAGCTGCGCTGCTCCTTGAGGATCACGGTCTGCTCTCTAGGGCTCAAATCCGAGCAAACGGAAGAAAGGGTCTTTTCCACGTCGTCCGCCGACTCCAAGGACCGCAAGACCGAAGGCAGAACGCCTCCGTAAGCCGTCCTCCTCTGCTTCTTGCCGTTTGATGAAGAGACGCTGGAGGGCAAGGCCAGGGCTTTAGGGCGGCGTTGGAGCTTAAACCCTAGAGAAACCCCGCCCCTCGAGGTGTGCGGACGAGGGTGGGACGGGTCACGGTGCGAGAGGGCGTGAAGATGGAGGCTGCCGCCGCCGCCGCCGCGCATCTCGCTGGAGCTGCAGGTGGGGAGCAACATTCTGCTCTCTGCGACGGCGATGCAAGGAGGACCAGCTGCGTCTTAGTGACGACGATCAAATATCGGGCGTGGACAGAGAGAGTTGGGGAGCTGGTAAGTACATCGAACGGTGGAGGAGACATCAGGGTCGTCATCAGACGGTTCGACGCATTTCAAGTCGTCAACCTACGAGAGGAGATCTTTTGTTATTGCTCCTCGTCGGCTTCTTTTCGCTGCTAAGGTAATGCACGAAGCCTTTCTCCCTTTGTCTTGGAGCAACGCAATCTATTCAATATTAAAGATTACTTGACACATGAGATGGTAACCCATAGTTTGGCGGAAAGTTTTCAGCTCTCTCTCCCTCGGGAACTCGATCGCATGGCCGTGGTAACGCAAGAATCGAGAATCGAATGCACCGTCCGGCTAAGCGCCGGTGAAGTCATCTCTCCATCCGTCAAAAGAGGAGGCACCAAGATAAAGCCAAGCGAACAGCAGTAGCAGAGAGGGAGCATGAACTGGATGAGTGCAAAACTGTTTTCGTGCCAGTTACACTTCGCGGAGCAACAACTCTCTAAGGAAAAGAAAACAAAGAACAGGGGATTGAAAAATAAAAAAGTGATAAAATAACATAAAACAAAGAGAAACTGCGCAGAATGAAAGGAATTGTTTACACATTCTAAAGCAGAGGACACTGTTCACAAGAAGAATGACCTATGCAGCCTGTTGCAGTGAGAGGATCCTGTAATAAGTTGTATGTCCAAAGTGACAGTCAAAGGAGGGTGATGGAAATATCCACAAAATGAAACAAACTCATCGAGAGCACGGATTGTCGGAACTAATAGTATATGTGACACGCATCTGCTCAAAATCTATTTTTACAAAACCATTTCCTATGAACAGCAGTCTCAGATTGCAGCCATCATGGTTCTCCTAGCAGCCTCGCGCTTCATCTCTGCAGCTTTGCCACTACCTCGGAAATACATGTAAACTTGCTGCAAGATTGAAAGCATGATATTGAAACTCAGTAAAAGCAAATAACAAGAAAGAGAAAAGGACTGCATTATAAAGCAAATATGATCAAAATCAAAGTTCAACCATCAGACCTGAAGGACCCAGACGCTGAGAAGTGATTCGAGGCAGAAACACCCAAAGCCAACGAGGTAGAATATCTGAATGTAAAGCAGAGAGAATAGCAATGCCGTCAAAACTAGTAAAAAATCTCCTCCTTATACTAAAGTAAACGAAAATGAAATGTTGAAAAAAGTTTTTTTTTGCTACTGTGGATACGTTGCGCCTGAGTCTATTAGCAGTGCACAAACAGTTCAAAAAAAACGATTCTTCAATGAAAAAACGCACAAAAGCTTCTACTTACCCCAACCAAAGCATTACCACTCAGAAGATCTATCGCAGGCAAGATACCTCTGTACAGAAAACAATCATATATGCCATCAGTTTGAATTAACAAAAGGAAATATCACCTTAAAGACTAGTTACATCTATGTAAAATGTTTATACTGGAGAAAGCAACCTATAAATCAGGTTACTTGTCAAATGCAGCCAAAGGGTTATCCATTCTTCTCTAGATGACAAATCAATTCAAAAGGAGCAAATGTCATTTGCTCCCCAAATATAGATGATGATGACTCAGTAAGATTAAACATTTTTGCTTTATACTCATCTCAATTAAATGACATTCAAAATGGAAAACAGTCTTCCAAGTACCGGCTACTAAGGATAAATAACATAACAAGAAAAGGAAAGGAATTACGTTAGAGATTTCCCCTTGAATATAATCGGAGGAGCGACAGAGGCAAAGATGCAAAAACCAACGTGTATCTGCAAGAATTGAGTGTGGATCATGAATGAATCATTGTCTAATATATCCTCAAAGCATGAAATAACAAAAAAAAAAGCAAACACTTACCAGGTAAAAAAAGAAAAACCACCCAAACTTAAGGGCACTGTCGGTCCTGTATTGGAGAAGACAAATAATTACAATGACAGCTGGGAAGAACAAAAGTTTTCAAATAAAGTAAATAAATAGGAAAAGAGAAAACACCATGGCTCCCCAAATTATTTGTCATTAATATTTCCAACTAATCATATTTACACGGCCTAGGAAGACAATCCAAACTAGACTAAGGTTACCATTCTCTATTACTTTTAAACTTTAGTCCATCTAGCTATTTATTGTAGCATTTCGAGCACATCTTGGCATTGTTGTAGCTCTGGATGCTAGCTTTTATGGTTTATTTGCTGCAGTTAGGACTTTCAGTAAACATATTTTCAAAGTTTTGCAGTTATCAGAAAGTGTCTTGTAGAGAACTTTGTGCACAGTGCCAAACAATGCTTTCAGATAAGCTCAATACCATGTATAAGATATACACTATTCAAGCAAATTAGGTTTTTATGAGTGAAATTACTATTTCCTCACCATCAATGATCTTGCAGTACAGAATCATTCAGAATAACATTTAGAATGTAAATACTGGAGAGACAGACGAAGCTACAAAGATTAGTTTTTTAACTGCTTAAGTTAACAGTTGTTAATGTTTTTAAAGGTGTGCCAACAATTTTGATGGAATTGCTGTATTTCAAAAGTGCAAAAGTAGATGCCAGAAACAACCGAAGCAAGAACTTAGTCATTTGATTATACTGCATTGTAGCAGTGAAATGAGTTTGACCAGAGGTTCTAGATGTTGTATAGCTTTAAGATATTAAAGTTGCCAAGCTGAAACTCTAAAGCAAGTCAAGGCAGCTTAAAAAGCTGCTATCAGGCCTCTCTGCTTTAAGATGTTTCAGCTCTGGGAATATTTGAAAGGCTTGCCCAAGACCTCAACCAAATTTAAGTACCCCCTTTAAAAGCTAAAGCAGTTAATCTACTTCATAGCACTCCACAACACTCATCAAGAATTTTAAGTATATAAATCAACTGGAGATGTAATTCTAAGTGTGCACAAGCAAGCAGAACCATCTCAATGATATCATCGCCAGGGATAGGGCCTTCGAGGAAAAACTGCCTCCTAAAAGCAGTTTTGTTGCAAACTTAAGATATGGTTCTTTAGGGTTACACAAAATACCTCATGGCACGATACAACGGGCGATACCACAGCACATAACCTCCAGGAACACCAGATATGAAGTAAATTATGGCCAGAAACCAAATTGTGGGACCTACAAAGAGAAGAGAAGATAAGTCATAGAAGTCGTCGCAAAGCAATAATCTAGGAGGAAGATATTTCTCAGAAGGGATTTCAAGACCTTCTCCTTTGATCCAGGCAGTAGTCACGGCCACAATATTCCACAGAAGGCAAAGAACCAAGCCTGAACAATGCTTGTGAAGTTAGTTGGCTGACTCTCTACAGATCATTCCTAACTGATTAAAATTACTCTTAGAGCGATAACCCAAAAATAAACAGCACAATCCACAGCATTGCCAAATCATTTAAAGTTTATATGCAGAAAATGAACAAGATAAAACAAATGTAACAGAGGCTCTGGTAAACATTTGTTCTAGTCAACCTTCAGAAATTACCAAGCTAAGTTCACCCCTTGTACTTACAACTTGGACCGAAACATTCCAATCACAAAGAGAAAAGTTCGAGACAAGCAGCAGCAGGTGCTGTTATATAGATGTTATAAGCTAGGAAGCACGGACACTCTCCAGGGGCTTCCGTGTCGTGTCGGACACCAACACTCATCTGACACTCTTTTTTTTATTATGCATTTATTTATGGATTTGAATCAAATTAATTTGATTGAAATACTCATAAAAATGATCATTTATTATGTATATATAAAAATATACATTAAATATACATGTCCCAACGTGTCAGATTTCTCTATTTTTTGAGAAATGACGTGTCGGCGTGTCGTGTCGTGTCGTGTTGCGTGTCGGTGCTACTTAGGTTATAAGTATTAGGGGCACCAAACTTTCAAGCAAAGAAAGAAATTACGAGATCATTGGAATCTTTAGTTGCTCTATCCAACTTCCATTGCCAACGCAAATGCCATATTGCAAAACTTTCTTAATGCAACTCAGGCCAGAATTTACTTGGCACTACCCAAACTTATATCTAGGACCGTAGATAAATCCTGAAAAAAGATTGAGACGCAGCACTTACGTGTACAATGCCACAACTGACAGTGGCATGTCAATACTTTTAGTACAAAACTAGGATTAAATCTAACACACATTTCCTACCAAAACAATCCATACAATAAGCTCAAAATTTACTGACAATATCAATCATAGAACCTGACATACCCAAAAATGTTGTGAAGGCCACATACTGAATCTTTTGAAGGTGGATAGGTATTTCATTTGGAATGTCATGATGGATAATAGGAAAAAAAGGTGGCCAGTTCTTCTCCTCAATCACTATTCCAGCTGCAAAAACAAAAGGAAAAGGCTTAATAATAAATAACTAGATGACAGATATGCATATTGCTATCTACGATCCAACATATTAAGATCTACATGTCAAGAAAAGGTCGAGGTACATGGGACAGGGATAAATAACCTCGAGATACAGCATCTTCTCTTCTTTTTAATTCCTGAGAAGCGTCAATAGCACCAGCAGAAAATAAAGTCAACAACGAAATCCACTCAAAAATCAATAGTATTACACTAACATGCTCTGCAAAAGGCACCTAAAATTTGATGATATCAAACACTGATTTAATTTTAGCAGAAAAAGAGAAGCCTCTGTCCACAACTTTGACCAGAACACTTTTCATTTTTGAAATAACCACTGTGGATATATATAAGGAGAATACCTGTTCCCTCTTCTTCAGTTCAGCCTCTTTAGCTTGAAGTTCCTTCTCCTTTGCTTTTACATCCTATGCTTAAACAGAAAGTATACCTAGCTCGTTTCAAATGTTCTTATGTTGTGAGACTGGCTAAAGCGGTATAGTCTTCCAGGATAGCCCCAGTTACCTTTGCATTATCAAGAGGAATATCAATTGTTGCACCACGATCATATGGCTCAGGAGGAAGAGGTGAAAGCCTTGAAGTTGCAGGTGGGACACTCCCAGGATTCTAAAATTGCAATTAGAAGATTAAATAAGAAAAAGAAAATAAAATGTGATGGAAACTAATCCAATAGGTGCCCCAGGCAAACCAAATCACTTAAATTAATGGCAGAAGGTGACTGGTGAGGCCTGAACAAGGAGCCACAGAAGAACAAACAAATAGAAGAGCTGATCACAAAAGAAGGTTTAGATGATACAATTATCCATCATGGGTGATAAAAAGTTTTGTAAGACCCCATTAATCAATTCTGTATTTACAACATATTCATCTATGAGTGATAGGAAGTTTTGCAGATAACCCTCTTCTCAATTCTCCATGTAGAAACTGTTCATTAGCCCTTCTCCACTCTCCCAAGAAGTTTTGTTATCATTGTACCAACTTGCAAACCGGCTAGAAGCGTCATTAAGAGCATAGGAGGTTAAGAGAAAACGCACTGTCATATAAAAAGCGCCTCCACCATAGTTTGACTGGCCTGCCTCCCTCCCTCTACCTGCTTTGTCCTAAAACCGCAAGATGAACAAACCACATTCACCAACCAAATCATCCAACAAGTTGTCGTGATTCTTATAGTATTATAATGTTCATTCGTAACACGTGATGTTTAGAGGCAAAGTACTTAAAGATCAGTGTGAGATCTTAAGAAACAACAAAACAGAGTAACCCATGAACCCCATCATTCAATGTGGTCAGCCAATTGATTTTCCTGTTTATTTTATTCAACAATTTATCAACAGTACTTTATTTTTCTTCTCATGCAGTAATCGAAGAAAAAAGTTTTGTGCTTAAAAAGCGGGATGCAGAATCTGATTGCAAATTCTGCAAATCTTATTCATAGGGTAATACTTGGCCAAACACAGACAATGACCTAATCCGGAAAAGAAAAGGAAGAAGAAAAAAAACACAGACAATCTGACAACCTCTTAGTCCAGTGAAAGATGATGCTGGCTCCATAGGTTTAGCGATAAATCAACAAAGATTTTCCTAATTTCCATGAATAAAAATGTTTATGCATAGGTTGTCGTTAGTAATGAAAATATAGTTCATTGACTTGTTATTTTAAGTGATAAGAACAATCAAAATTCAAAAAAAAAAAATTCCAAATTGCTGAATTTCATGAGAAACAAACGGAGCCTAAAAAGCTACTAATCAACTAGTTTAAGCCTTCCGACCCAAAAAAAAAAACTAGCATAAGCCACATTTAACATGGATCGAACATAAAGAAAAAATATGGCCTTGCCATGCAAGAGCTTATAAGATCATACTTCAACCGACCCACATTTTGATAGCTAACAGCAGAAGTCAACAGGCAGGACAAAATGAGGCACAAAACGTTCAAACACTCTGCTCTCTCGCTAAATTCATATAGCAAGCAATACTTAGCGCAGCCGATTCAGATGATGTAAGGTTCATTCTTTTGGCACAGAAACAGAGAATGGATCGGTCAAACGCACGATCAGTTTCACCACTCATCGACTCGAAATCATCAACAAGACAAGTTGAATAAGAACACAAAAAATCCAGTAATATTCTCCCTCCCAAGGCCTCCACGCAAAGATCGTACAAGCTCTTGTCCACGCCAAATGACATCTAATGAATAGATCGAGCGATCTAACCACCCAGGCACCGACAAACGAACAAAACGTCCGAACAAGCAACGGACCACGCACAGCGAAGGGACACACACGTCGCGAAACCAAAAAAAAAAATCCAAAAGCTCACGCAAATCTCAACCAGTCGCGAGCCTCCAAAAAACTCGATGCGCGCGCGACGACGACAATGCGCGCGGGAACACTTACCGCGAAGGGATTGACCTCCTCCTCCTCGAAAGGATTGGAATCGAAGCGACTCATGAGATCCAATCGGGGAGCCGGGACCAGATCTCGAGCTCGACGAATGCCGAAGCGGGGCCCCGGCGGCGGATCGCGCCGAGATCGCGGGAGAAGAACCTGTGCTCGGCGGAGGAGCGAGCGCTCCGGGGAAGAAGGCTAGATTGAGAGAGAGAGAGAAAAGGAAAGTCGGTTTCCGGGAAAAGAAGAGGTACGAGAAAACCGGACGGGAAAATGTTTCCTGCGCGGGCAGGGCGAACGCGGTGGACAGCGACAGTTTATATACGGCGGGATTCGGGTCGGCATCTGAGTGGTTGCGGGTCCCATCGAGCGGATTGCGGGTCGCTTTTGCGTGATTTCGTGTAGGGTAGGGGTAAACAAGATGGACTGCGCGGACCGGGATCGGATCGACCGGTTTGGTCCGATTCGAGGGAATATCGATCCGATTTTCGGTTCCTAAAAGAGGAATTGATTTTTGGCGGTCCGGTTCCCGGTTCTAGGGTGAGAACTGGACCGGACCGGACCGGACCGATAAATATATATTTCTAATTTTTTATATATATAATATTTAATATATATTAATGTTAATACCCAAAATTACACCTGGTGGGAGTGGGCCGTTCACAGGTTACGGAGGATGTAAAGTACGGCCCACATGGCGAAAATCCGAAAAAGGTCGCAAGTCAGGCCCAGAAACATTGAAAAGACTTAATGTAATTATCGACAGGACACGTTATAGAGGTGTCGACAAGTTTAAAATCACGAGCTTTGCACGTGGCGTTGACGAGTTCAAGATCACGAGCTCTGCACGTGGCGTCGACGAATCCAAGATCACGAGCTCTGCACATGGTGTCGACGAATCCAAGATCACGAGCTCTGCACGTGACGTCGACAAAATTCAAAATCACAAGTTTTGCACGGAATCATACGGTAATACGTGGTGAAAATTCATTTACACGTGTCAAAAGGTAAAGATATGACCGTGGGCGTGAAGATCAAGAAAGGAAAAGAATAACAAGAAATAAAGAGACACGTGAAAGAAAATTAGCTATTACGTGATGACCAAGGAGCGTAAGTAATGTCGACAGGTTAGGAAACAGTTAAAGAGCGAAACGTAAGGAAGTGGAAAACGACTTTAGAAGTGTTCGGTCAACGGTTATCAAGCTGATCTATAAATACTCAAGGATTTCCAACGTAAAAAAAAACCCTTTTTCACGAACAACACAACATATCTTTTATCTAGCTTTACTTTTAGCGCATTAGGAGTAGTTTTAGTTGTAATTTTCAGATTCTACGTCGTAGATTCAATTCCTGCAAGAGTCTTTATCAGGTTCAACATTATTGATTAAATTCCAATGTTGTGCCATTAGTTCAGCGTCGTCAATTAAATTCCGGCGTTGTGCTTGAAATATAGCTGTTGATTAGATTCCAGTCATATTCTCTCAAATTATGCCATTGATTAGATTCTGACGTACCTTGAATGGTAATACCGCATATTAGTTGTGTCGTTGATTAGATTTCGACATAGCTTGGTCTCGATATTTGCAAGTTGTCGTTTTATTGTTAGTATTGTCGAGTTCGACATCATATCGAGTCAGGGTGTAAGATCTAAATTGGGATTAATAAACGCATTTGACATTTTCTGTCCAAGCTTGACTCAAGACCCTAGTCTCCCCTAATAAAATCCGAAACGCAGCGTTCGGTGAAAGATTTTCGACGGAGGAAAAACCGGCGAAACAATTAAAAATATTTAATATTAGTCTCATTGGAAACGATTGTTCAATTTTTTCATCTATTATATATATTTTTTCTATTTTTTCCATGGCCTTATGAGATCAAATCATAACTACAAAGGAAAGAACGAAACAATCGGTTTCCGATTCACAAATAATATTTAATATTAGTCTCATTGGATCAGTCCGGTTCGGTCCACAGTCCCAAGACTACCCTGTTCAGTCTCCGATCCTAAAAACTAGGAACCGGTCCTTCCGATCCGATTCCCGATTCTTGAGTTGAACCGGATCGGACTGGGAATCGCTCACCCCTAATTTCGTGGTGCATCGAAACGAAATCAATTCGTAGAATAATGTAACGTGACATGCTTACTGTGTTTTGAAAATGTCGTCGATTTATTTTAAATATGCTTCCTAATTGTCCATCGTTCCATTTGAATATTGCTTCACAGTCTGTCTCGTTGCCCATTGGACATGACTTCATTGACATAATTTTGGCAATGCTTTCTTTAATGGATTTGTTTTCCTTCCTCACCAATGTCAGCATCTCGGCAAATTTCAATTTTGAATGGAAGTATTTACGATAATTGCCTGCTTCCATAATTTCTCTTTTGAGCGGAAATTTTTAAGAGGTGCTATCGAAATATTAAGTGATCTTACTAACGGTCACTCGTTCGATGTGCTCTCGTGTGCATGCTTTCGTACATTTACGTGCTTTTGTATACTTCAGATATGTCGAGAGAGTCCCCTGTACATTTAAAGAATGGAATGCTTAGATACAATTTTTCGAAGTTGCAAAGGGGCAAGTCGAACGAGATTCGATGTCGAGTTATTCTTGTTCTGAATGGACATGGAGTCGGCATCTTCTTTCGAGTTGGGTTCAAGCTATTCGAGTCGCCAAATTATCTCGAGAGCTTTAATGCTTTATTTCGATATAATGCTGTGTTTGTACTCAATCATTTCAGTCGATCCCCACTTCCAAAATGGTTCGTGCCACCTCAATCACCAAGTCAATTTTACGGTCCCATACGACAATTACTCAGCAAATTATTGAGTCGGGTCATGACCCATTAATCGACACGGCGAAGAGATTAGGGATGGAGCAAATTGGGTTGATCATTTGCAAATTCGCTTGTCTTCTATGTTAATCATCGTACTTTTCATATAGCCCAATGACTGACTTGTAAATATACCAAAAGTTTAAGAATTATATTAAATAAATTAAAATTTTAAGGTCGACATTGCACGTCGACTTAAAATTCATGTACTACTTGTGTAATTATCTCGTTTATATCCTCGAGCCGTCCATTTCAGGGGGCGATTTCATTGGTAGCCCTGCCCCGCCGTGATCCTAGGCCGAGCTGATCCGATGGTCCCCCACTGCCCCCAGCGGACGGTCAGGATTAACGACCGGCAGCCATCGACCACCCGCGGACACCAGCGAACCTGAAGCTACCCGCGGATACGGCGACGGTCGCGGTCGCAGGGACGGCGACGCAGCGACATTTACATCGCCCAAATCTCGCCTCTCTCGCTCGATTTCATCCGCAAACAGAGCGAAATCGGAAGAGAGAGAGAGAGAGAGATCGAATCCTTCGCAATGCAGTCGCGCTTCCGATCCCTCCCTCGCCTCCTCCGAACCCGCCGCCTCCCCCTCCTCTCCCCCTTCTCCTCCTCCTCCGCCCTCGCCGCCCCCCATCCGCCACCGCCGCCCCCGCCGACGCCGACGCCGACGCCGACGGCCCGGAGGACCCTGGCGGGCCTCCGCGCGCGGCTCGCGGAGGAGTGCCCCTCGCTCTCCGACTTCGTCGGCCTGAAGTCGAGCGACGCCTACTCCGTGGAGGTCGGCACGAGGAAGAAGCCGCTTCCGAAGCCCAAGTGGATGAGGGAGTCGATCCCCGGCGGGGAGAAGTACGTGCAGATCAAGAAGAAGCTGAGGGAGCTGAAGCTGCACACGGTCTGCGAGGAGGCCAGGTGCCCTAATCTGGGCGAGTGCTGGTCCGGCGGCGAGACGGGGACCGCCACGGCCACCATCATGATCCTCGGCGATACCTGCACCAGAGGCTGCAGGTGTGGGTTCTTTCATTTGGACCTTCTTATTGTTGCCTTACGATTGATGTTCTCGTTTGGGGGGCGTGCGTGAATTTGTTATGCGGGCGTTTGAGTGTGGGAATTGGCCTTAGCAATGAATGTGCGGATCGATGGAATTGATTGTTGAAATCTTGAGCGTGGATTGGGTTGTTTGTTGCGGGCAGATTCTGCAATGTGAAGACCTCGCGCACTCCGCCTCCACCAGACCCTGATGAACCGAGGAATGTGGCGGAGGCAATTGCTTCCTGGGGTTTGGAGTACGTGGTGATAACTAGTGTGGACCGGGATGATTTGCCCGATCAAGGGAGCGGTCATTTTGCCGAGACCGTGCAGACACTTAAGGCACTCAAACCCAAAATGCTTATTGAAGCCTTAGGTATGGGATGCTGAACGCGAGAATAGGTTTTCTCGTTCATGAATGTGGGAAATGGATTGTTTTTGAAACCTTAAAAAAATCGATATTGTTTTAGCCTCTCCTGGTGAGTGGGTGGCATGGATACTCATGGACCAGTTCTGGTGATAATCACGTGTTCTTCTAAATAGATATGTTCTTAAGTGCCCGGGAAATCTGGTTGGCAAGATTTCTCTGCCACAAGTCCCTAAAATTTTGTTACTATCAAGAAAGATATGAGGCAAGACGAAATTTGGCCGAGGTCATCAACCTTATTTGGCTATTCATAAGTAGGAATTTATGTCGGTTGCAATTAGCGTTCCTATGCCTTCTGCTTTAGATTATGCTAAGCTGTGGCAGTTGAAGGTGTTAGATGTAATGCTTAAACGGGCTACATAAAGGCAAGGATGATCTTTAAGTGTAGATATATTGGATTGATCAAGAAACAAATGGTGTAACATAATTTTTTTTTTCTGATCATTGATCGTGTTCTTTACTAATGCAGTGCCAGACTTCCGTGGAGATTCTGGCTGCGTAGAGAAAGTGGCCAAGTCAGGCTTAGATGTCTTTGCTCATAATATTGAGACAGTTGAAGAACTTCAGAGTGCAGTACGTGATCATCGTGCTAATTTCAAGCAGTCTCTGGATGTTCTCATGATGGCCAAAGACTATGCACCTGCAGGGACACTTACCAAGACTTCAATAATGTTGGGCTGCGGCGAAACACCTGATCAGGTTGTAAAAACTATGGAAAAGGTGAGGGCAGCAGGAGTAGACGTGATGACATTTGGTCAGTATATGAGACCATCAAAACGTCACATGCCAGTTTCTGAATATATCACGCCTGAGGCTTTTGACAAGTACCAAAACCTTGGAATGGAAATGGTATGCCACGCTTTTTCCTTTTGTCTTTTGTCATGTGAATCAATTTGCGTGCATGACAACCATGCCTGACTATTCTGGTTCATGTTTCTTCTTTCTCTCGTTTAGGCGTCAATTTTGTTCGTCTTCAATGCATTTTCAAATTGTCTCTACATGCCTAGAACTTCAGCCTTAGATCAAGATGTGTATTGAAAACCTGTTGTGCAGCTAGCTTGTTTTCAGAACTATTATAATTGATCTCACGAGTCATAGCAGAAAGTAAACTCCAGCAGTTGATTTCAAGATATGGCACAGTCTTTGATGTTGCCAAGTACAAAGCAAAATCAGGACTATGAATATTGTGCAGTGCAAGAGTGGATGTTCTGCTGAAGTTGTTCTATCCTCGTGATGGGAAAGTATGTCCTTTTGTGATCCCTAAGTGTAGAAGAATGTCGGGCACTAGATGCTGAAGTATATGCTACATAATTGGAAATATTGCTTAATGTTGATCCAGACAGAGACTTTCTGAACTAAAATTATAATCACAATCAATGATTATTGTGAGTTCCTTTTCTTCATTAAGGAGTCTGATTCACATGAATATATCACTAGAGCGAAGAGAGCAAACCGATTGCCTTGGTAATTATTTAGTTGTGCAAAGATAATGGAAGTATGGATGCCAAGTGTCATGATGATGTTCTTTGACAAAATTGGACCTCCATCAAGTTTGTCAAGGCAGATTCCAGCTCGATATATTTGTGCGCATCCTGACGAAGTGTGTAACTTAATTAATGAATGCCAATGTTGTTTACTTTATCATAGACAAACTTGCGCTTGTAATTGTCTGTATTTTTAGCTCAATTAACAATGAGATGAGAACTATTGCGATCTGTACAATTTCCCATGCTACTTCCAAGTAAGGAACTTTGTTTGACAGCATCTTTATGTTCTCTGTGTCGTTGATAAGTAAGTTGTACTGTAACTCGTGCTATAAATTATCAGTACTACTAGTTGCAACTGTCAAATGTTCCTATTATGCCAGTCTCATGGTTATTCTGTAGATTGGCAAGATCGTATCTTTTTTCGGTTTTATTGAATCAATGTACGAGAATGTCTCAAGTTGGTTAGGTCGCAATGGCGTGAGATGGTCTTCGGTGGTTCTCATGCGGCATATTCATGAATTTTACATTGGACTTCTTATCATGCTCCACAAGCATTTGGATCTTTTTCATTTCTACATATGGAAGGAAAACATAGAAAATCCGGGTGCAAGCATATGCTGTATGTATCGACCGAGCGAAAATCGTGGTTAGGAAGTTGACTTTCTTATTAGTATCAAAACCTATGAAGCCTCTGTGAAGCTATTATATTGCCTCTTGCTTTATGGCCATTATATTGTGAGACTGCCTGCTGAACTGTGGTTTCTGATGTTTCAGGGATTTCGGTATGTGGCTTCTGGTCCAATGGTTAGGTCATCATACAAGGCAGGGGAATTTTATATCAAATCTATGATAGAAGCAGACCGTGCCGGCTCTGCACATATTCCTGTCTCTGGATGAATTGGCAAACGATTCCTTTGCGATTTTAAACTTAAAATCTGTCAGCTTCTCTACGTTACTTCTCTGAGGAATATGCAGCTCAAGTTAATCTACTTTGACGGGTCCAATTGGAGTCAGAATGACACAGAAACTGGGGTTTGTCGTCGTGTGTGCGACTTTGAGCATGTAACTTCAGCTTCCATGATTGTCTTTAGCTTGGGTCGCTTCTGTTGTTGGAGTTCAGGGTATTCCTTGTATATGCAATTATTTCTAATAATAACATCATCAAATGTTACACATCTGTCTCATTGTTTCTGTTTCTTAAGCATGTTCTTTTCCAGTGCAGAGGGTTAAGCTCATCGGATTAGGAATGATTGGTTACAGGGTGGGTGGTTCCCATCCTGAAATTGGGAACTGCCCACTAAGGGCCAATTCCGCAAAATGGACATTGGGAACTGCCCATTGATTCCGGTCAGGAGAGGTGTAGAAGGGTAGGGAGGGGCGGAGGAGGAGGGGAAGGGCGGGCACGGGGTTGTCGAGTGCGGTGGAGCCGAGGTGGGAGAGGTCAAGACGAGGGACAAGGATGGTACAGCGACAACGAGGTGGAGCGGGAGTGGAGGCATGGAGGTGGAGGGTGAGGGGAGAGAGGGAGAGCGAGAGGTGGGTGTTATGAAGGGTCAAAATCAGGTGTCCCCTACATCAGACTGCTGAGCAATGCTCAAGTGTTCTGTACTTCCTATTACAGATCTCGAAATTTAGCCAGCGACAAGCTTGCAACCATCGATCGTGTGCTTGTCCGAGTGAATCGAGTCTACATTCCAAGCATTTTGAGTAATGGGTCCAACTCCAAGATCAATCTTTATACACTATGAGCCACGAATGCATCCGAATCCCACTCCTTGCTTGTGCAGTAATCGTGGTCGGTGGATGGGACTTTGGGTTGTCGCCAGACTGTTTTGTACTCCATTCTCGAACCACCGACAGTAAAGATTGGATTCGTGCGAACCCTTTCTTTCCTTCGTGCGAACTTAAGACCGTATGAACGAAACACACGCGGCCCCATAGTCAAATGAGATTTTGCGTGCGTTGCGACTACATTACAGCTTGTTTAGTGCTCGATAAGTTCCTTAGAGACTCGTGAAAACAAGAGGGCCTCGACGGTCCACCACGGACATTCTATGTCGCCCGTTTTGACGTTGTGCCGCCCTTTTCAGCCTCCAATCGATTTCATTCCCTGAATTTTCTTTGGGACAAACACATTTTCATTAATGATGCCGGTGTTATTTACGGTACGACGTGCGAGGGACAAGCTTTCCCACAAGCGCTCCATTGAGAAAATCAATGTTTGTCATCATTGCTGTGCAAAGAGTAAATGATTCAGAGGTCCCTCAAAATGCCCCTATGCTATGACCACCAGTCAATTTCGACCCAAAATTTAACTTATTACGAAAGTGCAATTAAATCTTAAAATTTTTGAAAATTTTAGGACTCGATTGCACTTTCGTGAAAATTTTTAGGACTCGATTGTACTTTTTAAAAATTTTAAGACTTAATTACACTTTCATGATAAATTTTAAGATTGTCAATATATTTATAAAAAAACAAAAAAAAAAGGACCACGAGTCAATCAAAATTCTCAATTTGTTTTTCTCCCTTTTCTTTGTGTACGATTTTTATCTTTTGTTTTTTTTTGGGTCAGGGGGTAAGATTCAATGGAGGGGACTACCATGCTCCTCCACACTGCACTCGATTCCATGCTCATGTCGTCCCGCTCTGCTTTTTCAATTCTTCAAGAAACTCTCTTTCCTCAAACACTCTCTCTCTCTCTCTCTCTCTCTCTCCACCAACTACTCCGTGTGGACTCTTCTCTCTCTCTCTCTCACTAGAGTCTACAGACAGTCGTTGAAGCTTCATCCTCCTCGGTCCTCGCCAACATGGGTTGCTGCTTCAGCAAGCCCCCTCCTCGCCGCCGCTCCCCGCCAAGCCCGCCGGCGCCGGCATTCGACAAGGCCCACGTCGGCATCGCCCCTCAGAATGCGAGGGCGAGGGACCCTCCTCCTCCGCCACCGCCGCCGCCCCTGGAGGAGGAGACGGTCAAGGAAGTCCTGTCCGAGACGCCGCTGCCGAAGGCCCAGCTTCCGGAGGCCCCACAACCGCCGCCCAAGCTCCAAGAAGACGGACCCGAGACCAAGATCCTGATCAGCAAGCTGGAGGAGGCCGCCGAGGTGGTGTCGGAGTACTCCGAGATGTACAGCGTCAGCGAGAGCCTGTCGACGGCGACCACGGCGACCACGGCGACCACGGCCACGGATAAGCGGGAGACGGAGGTGACGAGCAGGGAGTCCCGCGAGGTGAGGCAGAGGGTGAAGAGCAGATCCCCGGCGAAGGTCCCGAGGAAGCGGCCACCGTACGCCGGGGATCTCGGCGGCGGCGGCGGCGGCGGGGAGAGGAGGGGGGTCAACAGGTCCCCGTCTCCCGCGAAGAGGAACCCGGCCGGCGTCTCGGGTACGGGCCCCGGGCGGGTCAGGGAAGCGGGCCGGGCCAGGACGGCGGCTGCGCAGCGGAATGCGGGGTCTCCTTCCGGCGTGCCCAGGCGAGATCCGGGCGAGACGTCCCGCCGGCGGTCGAGCTCCCCTGCGACGAGGAGGGCCGGCGAGGCGAGCGCAGACGTGACGGGGAGGAGCCCCGTCGCCGCGCGGGCCGGGAGCGCCGGCGACAGGCCAGCGAAGGGCGAGGTCAAGAAGGATTCGGCCGCCGATAGTGCAGCAGAAATGAAGAGGGAAGAGTACAGCGACACAGTCCCGGAGCAAGGGAACGAATCTCTGGACAACCCACTTGTGTCATTGGAGTGCTTCATTTTCCTTTAGAGTCCTTTGCAGATGTTTTCCTCATTAGGTGTTAGTTCCACACATGATCATGCATTGACATGGACTGGTCAGAGAGAGCATCAGTGAGCTTTCAATGGCCAATTCAATGTAAAAATGGTCTTCTTTTTGTAAGTATATATGAGAATTTGTCTGGCTCTTCTTCTTGAGATTGATGTTTCGTGGACATGGGGATGTGCACGTCATATGGTCCTCCTTTGGCTTTTTCACTGCCCCTCTTCATGGAGGAGAGGGAAAGAGACTTGTTTCCTTTCTCTTTCTTGGACTTGGGGTGGCGGTGGAACTATCATGCGTACGAGCCACACTTTGTCTTTTGCTTGAGGAGACTCTGCTGCTCTGTATCGTGTGCAGAGAGTGGCTTCCGCAAGCAAAAAGCAGCGTGGGGGCTTGATCAAGGGAGGGTCAATCACATGGGTCAAATGTGGCATTGGCATATCCTATAAATTTAGGGAGAAAAATTTTCTTGAAAGTTTATATCAGGAGGTATGCCAAAGTCGTGTTATTGATCAATGAGGTGGTCTCATTTGCTTATATATGGTGGATTATATATGGATGCACTTATCTCGAAACGGAAAACGTGAGCATGTGATGTGGTTCGCATGATATACTTCTCCTATTATGGTAGTTTGCACCATCACTGTCCATTTCTCATGAGTGATATGCGATGATTTTGACAAGGTAAATTGAGTCGACTTTTGGTCCCATATTGAGGCGAGCCATTATCCTAGAAAAAAGCGCGAGAATAGAGTTTTTCCATGAGATTGCATTGGAGATGTCTCAATAAGTTCTTGCCTAAAATTCAATACATAATGGATCGAGAAATCTCGTCCGATGGATTGTGTAGAGCTCACGTAGGGTCTGCAAGATCAAATATCGAGATTCACTCGGTCCATGATGAACCAAGTTTGGCAAAGAGTATTCCGAGATTCGGTCTACATTTTATAGCAGCTTGCCGATAAAAAGTTATCTTGACCAGCATCTCGAGCTAGAGCTACTTATAGCGAAGTCGAAAATCTCATTATGAGGGAATCGGAGATTCATTTACCAAGTTATATGATAAACTTGAAACTGATATCTGAAGTATGAGCAGGTAAGACACATTCAAGTACTCTAAACAAAATTTACCGCCTCAATTCGTGTATTAATTTCGTACCACTAGCATAACTCTACTTCTACTGAAACTTTTGAGTCTTCCTTCCACATTTTCGATGACTGCAGAAGCAGATTCAACTTGGGAGAAAAGCAAGAGAGAGTCGAGATACCAGCAGTTTCTTTCGAGCACTGTACATCAGCATGGCACCTCATGTTTTGACAGTTCTTGCTTCTGAAAGCATCTGCTTAGATGGATCTGAGTGTGGGTTTTGGGGCTCTTCACCTGACACACGAGTTTCTGGTCGACGGGTTCCCGTTGCTAGCTCCCAATGGATCTTGAAAGACAGTGGAGGTAGAAGGAGTGGTTGTGCTGATGATGGACAGGCTGAGAAACGGGCTCTCGAGGACAAGGCGGCAGCGGCGGCGGCGGCGGCGGAGGAGGAGTTGGAGGAGGAGGAGGAGGGGCGGGGTGCGCGATGAAGGTGGGCATCTGCTCTCCGGGCATCAACACGGATACTCCATTTGCATACACGCTCATCTGCTCAAACATGTGAAACAATCATGATCCCATTAGCATAACCAAATCAGTTCGAGAAATCTTGCCTCAAATATTGAACAGAATACGATTGTCACATGCAATAGTTGATGCATGCACATATAATACAAGAAACATGGCATATGCCTTGCTAGATGTGATATGTGTTAAACTATATCATATTCTCAAAAGCTTCTCGAGCCGGTTCAAGATTGGACCTGATCATGGGCCCAGCGACCCATGGGCTCGTCAAGGCCCGGCTCGAGCCACAAGGGCTCGTACGGGTTTGGGTAACCGAACATTAGCAAGAAAGCCCGGCTGTACCCAAAACTTATCGGCGAGCTTGGGCAAAATTTTTGACCCGACTCGATAGTCCAACCTACAATCGCCTCTATTCGAGATTAACTCTACTCGAATTAGCAATTCCACCGTATAGTTACGGAAAAGTACCAAGAGAAATTGTAAAATACAACCTCATTTCTAACAAACATGGCGAAATACTGAAATCCCATAATTTTTTTAATAGGAGCAGTTGGGAATTGCAAGGCACAAAGGGAGCGAGAATTCCGGAGCACGTCAAATAAAATAAGATCCTCGGAAATTTATCAAATCAAGACGCTCATCTCTTCATATTTAATGAAAGATTTCCGTTTATACTAATGTCTCCACGTACTTATTTAGCATATATTTAACACGAAATAGTACAATTTCAACAACGTCGATCGTACCCAACACAAGGAAAATCGATAAATAAGACCCGTCGTCGTGTTACGACTCACGCAATGGAATTTAGCGACGGCGAAAAATGCGACGGCAAGAAAAACATAAATTAGATCTCGAACTAGCATTATGGTAATTAAAAATTCAAACCAAAACAACAATAATCTAACCCTGGGTAATATAGAAGGTTTTGATGGGCATGTGAAGATGTTCGCTAGATTTCCAAGATCTAATTTCATCGACGAATTTACAATTATTTATCTTGTTTCTTTCTTGGAGTTAGGAAGCAAATCCGCTTATGCACGCCAGGACTTGTGTACCCGCATGAGGACAACATAGATTATTGTCTCGAGACTTATAATTAGAAAAATACAAAAAAAAAAAAGAAAAGAAGAAAAACTGCCTTCATCGCTATAATAATGAATTTTAATGTAATTAATTGGGACAAAACACCAAAATCAACGGACAAACACAAACCCTAACGATCTTTTCCTTGCTTGCAAGAACTTTAATTTGCCATCTTGACATAACATGAACCAAACAAGAATTTCCCTAGGTATAAGTAAAGATCGACACACATGCTATAAATTTTGATTATGGACACAGCCGTATATTCAAGAATACGTATAATTGCTATATTTGGAAAAAGAATCGGTAAAAAATTTAGTATACGTATTTGCATTATCTCCCTACTAACCTTCGGATACAAAATACAGAGAGAGAGAGAGAGAGAGAGAGAGAGAGAGAGAGAGAGAGAGAGAGAGGAAGTTACTTTGGGAGAGGAGAGAAGACGGAGCTTGTGAGGCAACGCCATTTGAGACTCCACGTCCAAACGGGTCGTGCTCCGACCGGGAGAAGAATCCGACGAGGTCTGCGACGGCGGAGGCGACGGCGAGGAGCTCGTTCGGCTCCTGAGGAACCTCTCGAAGATGGCCATGAGGAGGAACATGGATATGAGGATGGCCGTGGCCACGAACCCGAACGACACCGCGTTCACCGAGTCATCGAAGTGCGTCCACCGGCCGTCTCTCCCGGCGTACGTGGTCTCCGGGGCCGCCACCGCCGCCGCCGTCGCCGCCGCCGCGCCCCATCCGTGGTGGTGTTCGCCTCCACCCATCTGCTATTCTCGCTCGAAACCTAAGGAGCTAGGGATATTTCGCCAGGACCCTGAAGAAGTATATAAAGCTCGCTCGCTGAGGGAGGCACAGAGAGAGAGAGAGAGAGAGAGATAGAGGGCGCTTTAGCTGGTTTGCAGTGAAAAGGAAACAGCTTCACGTGAGGCGCTACTTCCTTAGGTAAAATTACTCTATTATAGCAATCCTACGGATGTCCTAAAATACTTACCATTGGTGCTCACTATGAACAATTTGATTCTTTTTGGAGTCCACCACCCACAGTACAAGTCAAGTTTATAGGAACCAGAGAAAAAGTCACAAAAAAAAAATCAAATTGTAGCGATTGTGGCATATTTATCTCGAACTTTTTTGTGACATCAAAATCCCTCTACCATGCCCACTGCGACACATTTATCCTAGACTTTTTCTCGTGACATAAAAAATCCTAAACTTGTACCTATATAACACATTGACCATCCGTCAAGTTTCCATTAGATGATATTTCAGCCAAAACAATGTCATTTTAATTTCACTTAAGCCACATGCCAACACTGTTTGCTTTCCAGCATCTATATAGGCAGATTTTTAACGGTTCTCATTGACAGAATTTTGGCGGAAGGTAAATGTGTCACACGTGTAAAAGTTTGGGATTTTTTTGATGTCACATAAAAAAATTTAGGATGAATGTGTCACGGTAAACATAACTTAGGATTTTTTTGTAGCTTTTGCCCTAGGAACCATACAATTTCCTTAATTGATTATTTAACGAATGTCGTAGAACCTTATTCAACAGTTTTTGTTTATCGAGCATATTTATTATTTCAAAAGAATGAATTGGTAGCCATTTCATCATTTTAAAGTGGATGGTTCCTACGATCCCTCGAGAATTTGTTCCTTATAAAGTTAGTAGTCGTTGGCTCACAACATAAATAACTAAACTAAGTCTCCTTAATTTTTAATTACAGGAGTTACGAGTAGAGATAATCATCGGACAAGTCCAGGCGAAATTGCGCTTTGAGGCCGAGCCTAAAACATATTTCCCCACACACGATCATAATTGCTATTGCTGTTGCTATTGCTCGATCATGGATTTGGCAACCCTCGATCCCGTCCAAGCCGCACTCGAGCTACAAAAGCACGAAGACATGTTCATGCAAATCCAAATAACATATCTTTTCGTGAAGCCAGGGAGAAAATAATTTATATAGATAATATAGTTCACGGCTTAAGTGAAATAAAAATTATGTTATTTTGGCTGAAAAATTATTTAACGGGACTTTGGTATGTCAAAAGAAAGGTTTTATAGTAAATATGTCACAATGATTATAATTTAAGATTTTTATGTCACAAAAGGAAGTTAATGTCCTTATCAAAAAAAAAAAAAGTTAATGATAAATGTACGAACGGTGAGTATAATTTCAAAAAACAATTTGTGGCGTTTTCTCTTATCGAGATACCGTACCTTTTCCTCGTTAGACCGACTGCGATCCTTGGACTGTCTAGAGAAACGTGGTCTTTTTGCGCACGTAATTATGAGACGATGATAAATTATGGTCCTTAATTCATTGGTAATCGCTCGTCGTAGACCCCGAAATGGTCGACATGATCGCTTTCTCTCTGCCCCATAAGGGGGGGGGGGGGGGGGGACACATGGGAGGGGACATTAGGCTCATAGCCTACTTACTCCCTAAGCCATATCAGTGGGGGTGTGGGGAGGAGAAGAACACAGGTACATTAGACCAGTAATAAAATAATTAATTAATAAAATATATATTTATCATAAATAATAATTTATGTCTTAATATTTTCGTACACGATGAAATTTTTTTTTTGTTTTTTCATTTTTATAACAATACAAGAGATTATTTTTTAGAAGCTGTAAATGCATTCATGCAAAATATTGAAGCTATAAATATTATTTGGTCAATTTGATTGGGTATTTAAGGTGAATAAACTCCTTTTCGAACATACCTCGCTTTTGGAATACATTCATGTAAAATATTGTCGTTCGCTTTTTGTAATTTTTGGATCATTGCTCGATGAATAAGATATGGCGTGGCCGGTGACAACACATGACATTTCATACTTCAAAGCAATTTTCTTCTCTATAAAATGAAATATCTAATGTGGCCATTTTCGTTCAATTAATTTTTCATGAATGCATGCACACACCCGTTTATGTATGCCATACAAAGCTTCATCTATCGCATGACAAAAGTGAGCGACACCTTCCATGATTACTCTAATTAGGAGACGTTACGATATGAACACTTGCGGATATCAAACTCGTTTTGTTGCGTAGAATAAACCGACGAATTTATATAGCTACACTTGTTCATACATATATGTTAGATTAATCAAAATCTCCAAACCGATAGCCTGAATAAGTGGTCCCTCCCTTCATCACCTCACCAATTGCAAGCACACGTAACATGGTGATGGACATGATGTTAATCAAGCCACTCTTTCAAAAGCACCAAAATGGTTTTTCCTCCTTTTCTAAAACTATCAAAAGCACCTCTAGTTTGGCTTTTTAGTTGTCTAGATTATCTTGGTTAAATTACAAGATACATGCCTTTTCCTTGATCACACTTTACTTAAAGTAATATGATTTTTCCTAATTCTTGAACCTCTCTTTGCACCCCCTTTCAAAACCCTAAACACAATATTATTTCTCTTTTTGAAATCTCATTATGCATTTTCCTAGAGAATCATCAATTGCATTGTAATTTGGATACTTTTGTGAGGTCAAATATGGATCCATTATTTCCTAATATGGGATTGATTAAATATACTTTGGTGCATACCAATTCCTATTGTTGTTGTTCTTTGGGTTACATTTCAGGAAATTGGGGAAATTGTCCAATTAGTACGGATGCCAATTTGGTCATAAACCTTTGTACGAAATCCAAATGTAATCCTTCAGATTAGTTTTCACCGAAAATCACTAACATGACGGTCCAGTCATCACCAACTTTCTACGTGGCACACCTCCAATGTTAGCGATTTTTGGCGAAAATTGACTAGAAAGACTACATAGGAATTTTGCGTATAAGTTTGAGGCTAAATTGGAAAATTGGAAAATTTAGGACCGAACTGATATTCGTATAATAGGCTCAGAACCAATCAGGTAATTTTCTCAAATTAATCAGATAAAGAAAAAGAATAATCTCGATGTGATCGATCATAGGTTTTACTGTATGGGATTGGAATGAGATTAAAAAATTGGTAATAAAAGCGACATGTTGAGACATTGGGTAACATTGAGTCATTGCCAATGCACTAATAATGCCATATCCCTGTGAAGATTTGATGGGATTTGTGGGAATAAGATGCGACCCTAATGTTGGCCTATGTGAATATTCTATAGGGTGTGGGTACATCATTTCCCCCTCATCGAATGACATTAAGATCCACCTTTTTCGACTAATCTACATGAAGACTTAACATTGGTGATCAATACTACTCAGCACATGAAATCCTAGGGTTTTCTAATTTCACTTCACATTACATCCCAAATTTGTATTATCGAGTTAGTTTTCCTTCACGTTTAATGACTCCCGCGAATCTAGGTATGTTCTTATTTCACCGTCCATTCTTTTCGACATGGGTGTTATTCCGTTAAGGACAAGAAAGGGTTGAAATATGGTTATCAGACGCATTAAAGCGGGTCTAACCGTACCATGTCCAAACAAACGACGTGCTGATATGTTTAACTCGCGAGACCCGATTTTCATCACGCCATAAACGTTCGCGACCCGAAACCCGTTCATGCCGAGCCCAAGCCTCTTCAATCGCGTCATGTCTTGTCGCGTCGCGTCGTGTCGTGCGAACGGATCTAGAATCTTGTTGGAGAAATATATGATTTGTCTCGAGATTCCGATTCTAATTACATAGACTGAGGACTAATTGATTTAGTCAATCGAGATATTATAGGAAATTGTATCATGATTATTCTTTCTTTGATTCCCTTTTGTATTATAAATATCAGTATGTACATGTACAGAAGATGGAATACAAGAAAACAATTTTCCAATCTCTACATTTTACATTTTCTGTCATGGTATCAGAGCTTTCGGTTCTAAGCTAGCTTCCGCATCATTCTTCCAAATTGCCCCCGGTAGCCTTCTAATTTCGTTGTTGCAAATTTCATCCGGCAAAACGAATTAGCACTCCGGGTAGGAATTCAAATATCTGCACAACATAATGGAAGAATCATCCGATAACTCATCACAGAATCAGTCTTCAGATCAAATGGATCCGACTCATGGTGAACGGGATTCTGCACAACATCCCCCGATTGATCCTCCGGCACCAACACAGCTTCCTCCGACACCAACACCCAGTCAAGTCCAGTGGCCACCGATACAATGGATTCCAGTTCAGAGTCAATGGGCAGTCAATCAGCAATTTGGCCAACACGGTCCACTTGCAGAGGACGCAAATTCGGAACCGGGACCTCAACTCAATGGGCTCGGATGGCCACCTTCGAATCACCGAGCCGACCCGAGTGCACCGGGTCAAGGGATGAATCCCTACCCGGGATTGCAACCCGGTTTCTACCCGTATCCTGTCCCAGCCGTCAACGGCCGGCTGGAGCCCGGCGACGCACTTTACACATCGCCGGCCGATGGACCGGAACTCCGACTTATCAACTTACAACTCACCGGCCCCGACAACTACAATGCATGGGCTCGAGATTTCCGGCGAGCGCTCGTGACCAAGGACAAGGACGGATTCCTTGATGGAACCGTGCCCTATCCGACCGACGACCGGCTTCAACGATGTTGGCGCAAATGCAACCAACTCGTTCGCACTTGGATCGGGAACTGCATAGCCCCTGATGTCGCCGCCGGTCTTCCACCAACCGAAGATTCAAAAAAATTATGGGAAAGCATACGCGAAATGTTCGGAAAAATGGACCGAGCGAAGCATTTCTCACTCACACAAGCCCTGTCGGAGTTGAAGCAAGGGAACCTCTCAGTTACCGCTTGTTTCAATCGACTCTCAGCTTTGTGGAATGAGCTCGAGGCGGCTGAGGAGGAGCTTCAAGGACCAGAAACAACACTCGAACAGTATAAAAAAATTCGAGAAAGGGAGAAGGTGACTCGCTTTCTGTTGATTCTAAATGAGAGTTACTCACCGTTTCGATCGCAGATTTTAGCCATGGATCCCGTCCCTCCTCTTGGCCGGATCTATCAATTGGCTGTACAGGAAGAGAACCACCGACTGGCCACGGCGGAGTATGTGAAAATCGGAGAGAGCGTGACGCTTGCTGCTCCGGTAAGACCATCACAGCGAACGTCCAGCGCTCGGGGTTTGTCGCCGCCGCGGCGAGCTCCAACTTTGTCTGGGCCAAACGCGAGAAGTGAATCTCGCTGGGAAGAAGAAGAAGACCCCAATTCTAGGTTTTTGAAGATGGACGGCCCAGATTATAAGAAGGGATCGGACGGTTCTTATCTCATTAATCATATGGGCGGATCAAGCAATTCCCATCAAGCCACATCAGCCCCAAATTTTAAATCATCCGGAGGTCCACGGAGCGCCACGTCAGCCAGAGGTAATGGGCAGAATTTTAAAAATAAAAATAAATATTGTGAATATTGCAAGCGCCCACATCACACTATTGATACCTGCTGGAAGTTGCATGGAAAACCGGGTGATAAAGAAAAAAAGGAGAAAGATTTTTCCGCTTATCAGGTTTTGGCACAAGGGTGAAAGGACAAATCGAGACAATTACTACTTGATCAATATCAACATATTATGAAGGCATTGAATCAATTAAGGGCTACGAGACAAAGCTGCGGGTTTTTCAGGTACTTCTTTTCCCAGGAATGATAATATTTCAGTTGATACATGGATTATCGACTCAGGCGCTAGTGACCACATAATATGTGATGAGAAAATTTTTTCTGACCACCACAAAATCCATCCCAATGCATCTGTTCGTCTTCCCAATGGTACTCTCACTTATGTTACCAAAATTGGAACAGTCCATCTTAGTCCAAACATTACCCTTAAAAATGTCCTTTACATTCCTGAATTTGAATTCAATCTTATATCAGTTTCTAAGATCTGTGAAGACAACTTTTGCCAAGTCATATTCAATTCCGAAAAATGTTTCTTTCAGGACCATTCGACTGGCAAAGTGATGGGCTTGGGTAATGTTACACAAGGGCTATATTTTTGGATCAGCTTTCCAAGGGATTTCGATATGTCGTTATTCAATAAAAGCATTTCATGTAATGCCACCACCAGCAATAAAAATTTCCTTTCTCATCAACGTTTGGGTCATAGTGCTCGTTTTCCATATCCAAATTGTCCAATTTGTCCTTTGGCAAAACAAACACGAGCACCATTCCCGACAAGCACATCTCGAGCTACTAGTGCATTTTCTCTGCTTCATCTAGATATCTGGGGTCCATATCATACTCCACATCATGATGGGTCTCGATTTTTTCTAACAATTGTAGATGATTACACTCGCGCCACTTGGGTTTTTCTCATGCAATCCAAGAGTCAAACATTCTCTAATCTGTCGAATTTCTTTTCACTGATCAAAAATCAATTCGACAAAACTGTTAGTAAAATTCGCACAGACAATGGACGCGAGTTTTTCACTACAGAATGCAAATCTTTCCTAGCTTCTCATGGGATAATTCATGAAACCTCTTGCACTTATACTCCTCAACAAAATGGGGTCGTAGAGCGAAAACATCGTCATCTCTTAGAGGTAGCTCGAGCTCTCAAATACCAAGCCTCTATCCCTGAGACTTTTTGGGGAGATTGTGTGGTCACGGCGGCTTATTTGATTAATCGCATGCCAACTAGAATTCTTGAAGGTCGATCTCCTTTTGAAATGCTTTTCGGCAAACAACCAGAAATTGGACATTTGAGAGTTTTTGGCTGCTTATGTTATGCAACAAATGTGGGTCCTCGAGACAAAATGGATCCTCGTGCCTTACGATGTGTATTCTTGGGATATTCTCTCCTCCAAAAAGGTTACAGGATTATGGAAATATCTACAGGCAAGTTTTTTATTAGCAGAGACGTTATTTTTCATGAAGATATATTCCCATTCCAGGAATCGATATATTCTTCTCAAACAGATATATCAGAATCAAAGCGTCATCAATTCCTATCAGAAGAAGACTTGTCTATAACTTCTCCATATTTTTTTGTCTCCTCGGATCAAACAACAGCAGCTCCTAAATACTCAAATCAGACAGAAGATTCATTCGTACCATACAACGAGGAGAATAATTTATCAATTCCATCTCCACAGCAGCATATTGATCAACCATCTCCATCAGAACAGAACATTGCAGAACCACCCCGACGTTCTAGACGTCAAGTTCGTCCACCTACATGGACAAAAGATTACATATGCTCCACGCTGGACTCACCAGGTACACAATATCCTATATCTTCTTATGTCTCTTTTAATCGACTGTCGGAAGAGCACATGTGCTGTATTAGTCGTATATCTGAGGAACAGGAACCTTCATCTTATGAAGAAGCAATATGTAATCCACAATGGCAACAGGCCATGGAAGCCGAGTTGAGAGCTTTAATGGATAATCATACTTGGGACATCGTTCCCCTGCCTTCACATAGAAAGTCGATTGGCTGCAAATGGATATATAAAATCAAATACAAGGCAGATGGTTCAATTGAACGCTACAAGGCTCGGCTAGTTGCTAAAGGATTTACGCAACGAGAAGGTTTTGATTATCATGAAACCTTTTCTCCAGTTGCAAAAGAGGTAACTGTCCGTTCCTTCTTATCAGTTGCTGCATTCCGTAATTGGGAATTACATCAGATGGATGTCCATAATGCTTTTCTTCATGGTGATCTGGATGAAGAAATATACATGGAACTTCCACAGGGTTTACGTAGACAGGGGGAGTCTCAGGTATGTCGTCTTCGTAAATCCCTGTATGGACTCAAACAGGCTTCTCGACAGTGGTACGCCAAATTTACCACTGCACTTACAAATGCGGGTTTCAAGCATTCCAAGCATGATTATGCCTTATTCACATGGACCAAAGGTACTTCATCAATTTATTTGTTGATATACGTTGATGATATACTCATTATGGGAAATGATGATTCTGCTGTTAGAAAATTCAAGGATTATTTACGCTCTACCTTCCATATCAAAGATTTGGGACCTCCCAAATATTTTCTTGGTATTGAGATAGCCAGATCCGAGAAGGGAATATGTCTTAGTCAGCGAAAATTTATCTTGGAAATCATTTCAGAAGCAGGATTATCAGGAAGTAAACCGGCCACTATTCCCGTTGAACAAAATATCAAGCTCACAACGCTTGAATATGATAAGAGTTCATCATCACCTAATGAAGACCCATTGCTTAGGGATCCATCGGGATATCGCGACTTGTGGGAAAGCCGATTTATCTCACTATGACGAGGCCTCGATATATGTTATGCAAGATGGATACTCACCAATTTATGCATAATCCAAAGCAGTCTCACATGAATGCAAGCACTAAAAGTCGTAAAGTACTTGAAAGGATGCCCAGGACTTGGAATCCTATTATCTCGTGATTGCAACATGAAAATGGTGGCTTATTGCGATACAGATTATGCGACTTGCCCAATGACCAGAAGATCTATCACAGGTTTTTGCATCAAATTAGGAAGATCTCTAATCTCATGGAAAACAAAGAAACAATCGACTGTTTCTTTATCATCAGCTGAATCAGAATACCGAGCTATGGCAAAGACTATTTGTGAGATAGTTTGGATACGAGGTCTACTGTTGGATCTTGGAGTACAAATTGATGGAGCAAGTGAACTGTTTTGTGATAATGATGCAGCTCTCAAATTAGCAGCAAATCCAGTTTTTCATGAAAGGACTAAACATATAGAAGTTGATTGTCATTTCACTCGAGAAAAAATTCAAGAAGGAATTGTTGCAACTCGAGGAATTGGAACTGAAGAGCAGCCTGCCGACATATTCACTAAGCCTTTGTGCAAGAGACAACATGCATATCTATTAAGCAAGCTTGGCGTCTTTGATATATATAAGCCGCCAGCTTGAGGGGGGGGAGTGTTGGAGAAATATATGATTTGTCTCGAGATTCCGATTCTAATTACATAGACTGAGGACTAATTGATTTAGTCAATCGAGATATTATAGGAAATTGTATCATGATTATTCTTTCTTTGATTCCCTTTTGTATTATAAATATCAGTATGTACATGTACAGAAGATGGAATACAAGAAAACAATTTTCCAATCTCTACATTTTACATTTTCTGTCATTGTGTAAGCCGTCTAAGAACAGTGTGGGTCAGGGGAGGCGGGGTCACATGCGGCCCGTGACAGGTCGTGGGCTCACGTGAGCGACCTCCCTTTTCGCCACTGCATCTCTCTGCTTCGCGCCGTTCACTTTTTTGATTTCTGTCTTTCTCTGCTTTTCATGGCGAAGACGGAAAAGGACGGCCATTATAATCTTTCTTGGGCTGTCGTGTTTCCTGACACCAGCGCGTCGGGGCTCCACCGCCTCTTTCCGCCATCGGATGGAGGGATGGGGCCCGGCCCCGGCCCCAAGGGGGGCCCGTTGACACAGGGAGCAGCGCACGATCTTTGCCGGCAGAACCCGGCAGGCTGCTCCTGGCCGGCTGCCGGGGGCCTTTCCGGTTCCGGCGATCCCCGCCGTAGAGGGACCGATCTTCCATCGTACTCATACCGCGTCGTGCTCGAGTTCGTTTCGTCGTATCTCCGGTACAAAATGTCGTATCTCATGAGTCATTGTTGGTCGAGAATTTTTCGAAGTATTCTTGAATTGAAAACTTCGTATGGGAGATACGACAAAGAGGAACTTCGATGGGCTAATGAAAAGCCCCGTCCTCCAGCCCCCCGTCGATCGGCTCATTTCTCTCTAATTTTCTTTCTTTTTGTTGAGAAAACGGGACTTCGATGTAAGTAAAGGCATTGAGAAATTTTGAACGTCTACAAATGAATAGGAATACGAGGAAGCTTCCTAAAACATGCTACGAGGTTATGCGGCTACCTTTGATTTGGTATTTTGGGGAGATATTTTGGGGGAATTGTAGACACTTTTAGGTGAAAAGGGTTTTCACGAAATGCATAGTGTGTTTAGTGAACACTATTTGCTTTAAGTTTTTGTAAAGAAAATTTTGAAAATAAAAACAAAAAGGAAAAGGACAAGGATTAGCAGGAAGCAAATTGGAAGCTTCGGAGCCGGTGAACCCAAATCTGGCTCAGGATTAACCGAGGGTTGCACGACCTCGACGTCCCTTGCCCGAGGTCGCGTAACCCATATCTCACTCAGCTAGATGAGGGAGTGGAGGTTTGATTTGACGGAGCGGGACTTGTTGTCGAGGGAGTGCCGGAGGGATTGGAGGCGAAGAGGCGAGTGCAAATGAGAGGGTGTTCATCTGAGACTCGAGGTCGACGATGAACTTCATCACCACCTTGCTGGCCATCCTCTTTGTTCTTCAACGATTCGACTTACTTGCACGCGGAAGAAGACGAAAGAACTCTCCCTCGCTCAATCAATTTCGAAATGGAGAAGCAGAATAGTTGCCTTATGAGGGCGAAATAGGAATTCAAAAATGTTAGTGAGGCCAAAGTCGGAATTCATTAATGATGGCTATGTTTGGAAGCCACATTTCTAAAGGCCTTTGGGGCTATAAGGCTGGTGGCATGTGTTTGACAAATTTTTATGAAAAAGATAAATTTTTTTGAGAGCTTTAGAAAAGTCGCTTGGCCCGAAGCAAGTCGGTAGGAGCTTTGGACTTTAGAATTCTCAGAATGTTAATACATTTTTCCTTTTAATTTTACCCTCGCTAAATTTTTGAAATTCCAAAAATGCCCTCACCACTTTTCACCTAACACGACGCCGCCGACGACATCGGAGTTGGCAATGGCGAGGCTAGTCACGTGACCCTAGGTGGCCCTTGCTAGGGGTTGCCTGAGGTTGTGCAACCCCAAGCAATGGCCGCCGGCATATGGCGAAGGATTCGAGGTTTGATTTTTTTAAGATAAAAAATAGCAAAAATTATTTAACCAAAATTGCTTCTTAATGCACTTTTATATTACACGTCGCCAAACATTATTTGTATTTCGGAAAAACCCTATAACCTAAAATCCTTTGCATTTCCCTAAAAGCTTTAACCAAAAGTCGAACCAAACACGACTATTGAAAGTTGCCTTCTGAAACTGCTGAAAGCCCAGCTTTGCCAATGTTGGCATTTCCCCAAAATGGTCCAACATTTTTATACCAAAGGCTTTGACTTTCGCTTAAGAGACTTTAGAGGCCCGAATCTTTTTGGGAAAGCTGAACCAAATGTACTCTACATGACAAAGAGCATTGTTCTTGTAATACCGTGTTCTAAACTATGACGGAGGCATTCGCATCTTATTACATCGCGTATGATTAAGAACATGCATATTATAAAGGAGGCCCATCGAAGCATTACAGCAATGTCTATAAGTATAATTTCCCCTATAGCTATACGAGGCTTGTCAAGCGTCGCTCTATCACATTCGGCTCATCCCGTTCTACGAGTTTAAACACAATACACTTCTTGAGCAGCAAAATTATAAATATTCTCCAAAACGCAATTCGGCATACTTCTTTGCCTAGAGCCTATAGTACACCCAAGGACACCCAAGTACTATTGTAATCCAACCAAAAGTTTTCCTTCTGTAACCTTCGACCGCTGATACTTGGTCATCCAGCACACCGGTCCCGAGACCTTACCGACCTAAAAAGCCAATCCGATCGAGGACTCGCCTAGGTCAAATTGCGGAACACTTAGGGGGACACACAACATGCAACATCCAAGCGAAAGAGAGAGAAGAGAGGACGGACGGGAGGGGGAAATCAAATCAGTAGATGCGCTTGATTAAACTCGATACATGCGATTCATTAGATCAAGCGAGTCTCGTGCGGGATTCGCATGATCCGATTGTTCATAGAGATGGAATTAGGTACTCGCAAAATATGCGTCGGAAGAGGGGTGTTTTCCTCGGAAAAAAAAAAAAGACAACAATTCGAATTTCCGTCTTTCAAATTAGATCAAACGATGAATTTATTTATCTTAATTTGGATTTCCTCGTTGTTATTATTATTACTATTATCTAAAAAAATATAAAAAAGAAAGAAAGAAAAACCCGTATCCTGGAGCTGGGCCTTACCGTCTCAGATCGAGAATGGGCCGCCGAAGGCCCATGACCCGATTCACGCAACAACTGCCAAAAAGCGCGCAAAATGGCAATCTGATTCCTCAGATGGAGAGAGAGAGAGAGAGAGGGACATTCGTCAGCTTTCTCCATTGGACATCCCATCCAGACCTCTGCATCTGCAAGAAGCACCACCGCCTCTGTGTTCCCTCCTCTTCAGATCCGCTTCCCCCAATGGCGACGCTCGAGGCCCTCGACGTCGACGAGCCGAAGAAGGCGGCGGCGGCGGCGAAGAAGACCCAGAAGAGGAGGAGCCACGGCAGCACCCGCTTCTTCGTCCTCGTCGATTACCTCTTCCTCTGCATCTTCTTCTGCTTCCTCTGCTTCATCCTCTACAAGATGATGGCCCGTCTCTGACGGGACCCCTCCCTCCCTCCCCACGCCCGCGCCCCCGCGCTCCTTCCCGACCGCCGCCGCGAAGGAGGTAAATAATTACTTGGGAATTCCGCTATCTGGGGTTCTGCGCCGAATGTCTCGAATTGGCCGAGCTTGGCGCGTCGATGCAATGAGCGTCGACGTGGATAGGTCGACCGCAACTTTTGCGGATCGAGGACGTTACTTTGTTTCGAATTAGGTATGGGGAATTTCTTGAAGTTTCGTGGGAGGCTGCAGATTGCGTCGAGATCATCTGAATTGTCTCGGAAACTATTGGAGACGAATTTATGTTGGATAGTAAACTCGAGGGATGATGCGGGTATATGGCGTGAATCGAGGCGAAATTGCGCGCCCCTGTTGTTGTTGTTCCTGGAACTTATATACCGAGGCCTCGAGTAATTTATTGGCTAGGAGTAAGCATCATTACTGCTCTCGAAGGGTGTTGAATTGATTTGAAGCTCTTTGAGCAGGATGATGCAGAAAGAAGAGAAGGGGTGAGGCTAGTCACTGCCCGAAAGAAGAAATGAAGAGAGAAAAATAGATTAACCATATCTGTCGAATCAGCAGAATCCGTAAAATCTTCTCAAAACCGTGCCACTTTTGGGAAGATGGATATGGAAATCAGGCTATGAGGGCAAACGGATATCCCTCTGAATTCATTTCATCTAAATTAACCAAAGAAATGATTTTTACAGGAACCCCTCCTCCTTCTCTTCGGTTATGCCCAAATGAACATAGTAGTAGGTTTCCCTAGGATACTCGTCCGTTATAAAGATAATGAAGTAATATAGTATTCATTGCCTAATGCAGCTTACTTACTGGTCATTGAGGTTAGCTTAATTTGATGTGCGAGATGGATGCATGAATAAAGTGATTCGTGATCAAATATCCTTGTTGACATAGTTTTGGTCAACGATTCGACGTTTCTCTGTGCATTTACTTTAAAATTCAAACACGTTGGTGCTTGCCTTATAATTGGTTTAATTAACTCGAGTTTAACCAGAGTTTTCATTACCATTAATTTTTCAAAGCTGATGATCTGCCAAGAGTACTATGATTCTAGCGGCAAAGATAGTGGATATAATGTGTTGTAGCTGAGAACACCTTAGCACATGGTAGATCCTTCTTAGCTCAAGAAGCTGTATATGCTATTAGGTGACAGTAAAAGTCTGATGCTGTGCTGGTTTGCTGATTTTCACGCTTATTGTTGCAGAATCCTTGCGCTTTCATTTGTTCAGGTTACATGTCTTATCAATGTCTGCAGGGATTCTAATAAACTAACTTTGTGGGTTAACAAATACAGATGCTAAAAATCTACTTTGATTAAAAGGTACCATACGACACCTCATCATGTCTGTTAAAATAATGGATCCAAGAAATTCTAACAGGGGCGACATAAGTAACCTTTTAATTCGAAGGGGTTCTCCCTGTAACTCCTCCAAACACGAGGGGCATCAAAATAATTTATTTGAAATCTTCTTTAGTTATTGTTCTCTGAAACTTCTCAATAATCTAAATTTATTAGTGAGGATATGATCATTTTGTTTTGTCATAGGGATATGATCATTTACATTTAGCTTTTTCTAGCTCGATGTACCTTTGCCATAGGAACATGAGATGTAGCTATAGCTGCTATTCATTACAACTGAAAACAGGAAAAAGATCTGTTCAATTTGAATGGGGAAATTCTGATGATGACCTTGGCTGTCTGTTTTTTCTTGTTAATGTAAGTTGATCATAATAAATGTAAGTTCGGTGACTCCGTTTTTACATATTATTGCTTACGTTGAGGTCTTGGCATGTAAAAGACTCCATGCATTTCCTCTCACTGTATTTCACAGTAACTGCATGTTGTTTCAGAGAAAGGATAACATATGCTAGGCTTGGCCTTTGGTTATATTTAGTTCATTTTGAAGGTCTGGACTCTAAAGTGACCCTCATTAGGATTCAGCGTTTCGTTGGTTTCTCGAACATTTAAAAACCCTTTGTTGCATCATATTTATCATTGACTTGTACATTTTTATTTGAACCTGCAGGTATAGGCTTTCAGTATGATTTGAATTTGAAGCTGCTGGGCACTATGGGATTATGGAGAGTCAGGGCATATAAATCTATTGTGGGTTTCTTGTTGTGTAGAAATTCCACCAGATTGTTACATGGAAAATTTTGAGAAAGATCTGTTTTAGATGTTCTCGAGGATTATATTTCTCTTTGCTTCTATTTAGGATCACATTCTTTATATCTTTTTTGGGGGTATTAGTTTCTACTGTTGGAGCTGAAATATGGCATCATCTTGCTTATGGACTAGCTGCATTGTATTGTGTCAAGATAAACTTCTGAAACATGAACTAGTTGAAGGTAACTTTGGTGTATTGGGGCTGGGAGAATGTTGATGATGTAAGATCTACAGACTATGTAAAAGAGTCAATTCAATACTAACTACTGGTTAATGTATATACTGGGAGATTGTCCTTGATACATTAATTGATTGTACTTCCTGCATAATGTTTGAAGAATCGAATGGAATCACAGTTGAGAAAGTAGGTGCTAAGTAAATGAAGGTTGTTGATGTGGGGAAACCAATGTGAACAAAAATCGACAGGCTTGAAGAGGACATGCTTAAAGAGAACTGGGTTTTCGCTTGTTTCTGGAGAGTGCATTACTGGTTCTCAGAGTGCAGATGTAAAGGACCACATATGAGACGCACCTAATAATTATGCCTAGGTTCTTACTTGCTGGATCATGTGAATTCCCTCTACTTTTGACATACTTCTCTGACTGTTTTTCAATCTATAACGGATGACAAATTCTAATCCGTGTATGATATCATACATCATCTTTAATCGGATCTGGGTGCCTTGCGCTATTGAACTGATGTAAAAGCAAATAATCGCTGTAAAGATCAACATATTGCAAGTCTACTGTCATGCAGTATCCACACCCGTTAATCTAGCGAGTGAACTTCTTAAGGGCGCTTCTTCTTGTGTTCTGTTTGTTCTCATGCTCTTCAATCCATTTGCTAGGAGCACCTGTCGGTTCTTACCTGAACTAGCAATAAATTTCTCAGGCTGTGATGAGAGCGAGCGTCCTTTAAAAGGTGTTCTAGTCAAGGAACCCTTCTACAAGTGGAGCAAAATACAACAGAACAAATGCTGATGCAAATAATTCACTCAAAAGAAGCTGTTCTACACAAAGCCCATGAATCCTGGAAGATCCATTCCTCCCTCGGATTTTACGAGGCACAAAATCGGGTATGTTACAGTTACAAAGAGGTGACCCATATTCGCACTGGAAATGACAATTCAAAGAACTGGCCTTTCCTCGGAAAATCTCGGCAGTTGGACGAGCGAGTTGACTCGGGTGACACCTTCCAAACCCGACCAGTCCTGGTCTTCAGCTGCAACAGGTTCCCCATTACCTTCAGATTCTACGGGGATCTTTCCGTAGTTATCGTTTTCTTCTGAGGACCTTACTGTGAAGTTCCTCTGCAGAGACGGCTCAGCCCTCTGCCCATCATCTGATTCTAATGCATTGCCTGAGTGATTGCTCTGTAAGGTTGCCGAGGAAAAACCTTGTTCTTCATAATCAGATTCCGAGTCCATTTTTCCATCTAGAAACAGACAAACAACAGCACAGTCGTCCATCTTTGAAGTTGGGTACTTGAGTTTCCATTCACGAGCAGCTGAATCCACCACGATCCTTGCAGCTGATGCCCGGCTCGGAGCAGAAGCCACTATCTCCACCACCTCTTCATTGCTAAGAACATCCCAAACCTGCTTTTAACATCAGATGGTTCAGAAATGTACTAGGTTATACACACTTTCTTAATGATATACCATGAGAGAAGATAACAAATAACTATTTACACATGAACAACTGAATACAGTATTAGTTTCTTGTATGACTTGCTCAGAATTTTCAATAGACTAGTCCCACTAGTCGCCCGAAACATGTCATGAAGAGAATCGGATATGTTAGCTGTGGGCAGCAATCTCATATTTCAGCTGAAAGCTAATTAGATAAAGCATCTAAGGAAATTACATTTCCTCATGAGCCTATCTATTGGTCTCCGGCTTGCAACCAATCATTAATACTCAATATTTTTGGAAGCAATGGATGACAAGCAGACCCATTTTGAAGTACAGATCATCCAGCAGAATGACGGGCTAAATGTCCGAAGCTTTAATCTCAAGGAGAATGCACATTAATCATATTCATATGGCCTACTGCCCTCAAATATTGATGTAGTTTGTTTTTCGTTTCTTTTCATTTTGCTCAATATGTAGATGTAGTTTGTGGGAGTAATCTAGCACAGAAAAAGCTATTGAGTACATAGTCACTTCATCTTTTATTCGCTCTCAGTTTATGAACTTAGACAAATTCACAACAGTAAATTTGTATTGCTACATCATGAGTTTACGTTAGCATACATGACAAAATTGTGGAAGTAAACAAAATTGCTCCTGTGAAAAGACTCCTTTTGAACACGAGTGCTATGTGCATGGAACTTGAATTATTAACTTCAATTTTAGCCTGGCGCGTTTTGTCATAAATCAGGCATATTAAAAATCAGGTTCACCAATGTGAATATTTGAAACCATCAACAAATCAAACCCCATAATCTTCTTTCACACCTTATTCAGGCTGCATCTGTAGTTGGCTTCGCATCAGTTTATATTGCTTTTAATTGTTTCACATGATGCAAGCAAAAATTGCTAGATAATCTAGCAGCCACCAATGACCAGCTAAAAGTACAAAAGAAACAGTCATCACTACTTGAACATATATTCTATGAGCAAAAGATATGTGGGAATGAAAATACAGAATGGAGCGAGAAGGGAAAAATTAGCTAGAATGACCTTACCCCATCTGAAGCAAGGACAATAAACTGATCCCTTTCTGTAAGCACCCGGTGAGAAAATTCAGGTATTGATATCACGCCATACTCCTTCAAACAGAAATCACCAAAAGCTCTAGCCATTGCCAACCCTGGGGCATCATCGAATGGCAACCAAACCCGAGGCACTTCAGGCTCATCTTGCAACGCAAATACCCTGCCTTTACACCGTTTGATCCTTTCAGCCTCTCCTGCATAAAGCATCATCAAATAAAACATCACACAGAAAGCACCTGCCAATTATCTTCTGATTTCAGTGACCGCCAATGCAAAGGAGAGGGAGGAGGCTCAAGATTCATAAGTTACATAAACTTTAAACATACTGGGCAAATCCGGCTTCATGTCCACAGAGAGCTGGGTCGCCACCATTGAATCATTACTGTCCTTGGATCCTAGGACTGCCCGAGAGTCACCAATATATCCCATAAAGAGATTCAAACCCTAAAGCCAAATTAAACCTGGATTATGTGGCTTGCAAAACACTAGGATTACATACAAAGGAAGGAAGAAGTGAAAACCTTAGCCAGTGTTTGGTGCTATGCATCTATACCTGTTTAACGATTGTTACCGCTGTGCTGCCGCTACAGAAGCAATCCAAGTGAGGATGGGATCTGAGCTCTTTATCCATAGCCTTATATGACTTTAAGAAGGCGTCTCTCCATAAAGAATTCAGCTTGTCTTCTGCCGTGTCATCATCCTCACAATTACCTGCATCCGTTTTCCTTGCATTCCCATTGAAACAGGTTAAGCCTGATTCATTTTGCTTGGAATTGCAGGAGTGCAAAAAAGATTGGAGCTTAACGGGAAGGACATCCCTCACTTTGCGGGCAACAAGATGGCCATAAGGCCCATGGCCATCAAAAACACCACAAAATGTCATATCTTCTTCCATAAAATCCTTCACACAACAAATTCAAAGTCAGAAACGATATTCAGAACACTATATTGATGCTATACCCAATTCTAATGAGAAAATGATGATGGAATTACTCACTTCCCACACAACCATCGCGTCTTGATTAATGCCCTTCCGTCCCTGCTGAGTAAATATACACGAAGTTCGGCTCTTTCCATTCATGAAAACCCGGTTGGGTATGGTGGGTAGATGCTGCAGTGCAACATGACGTTCTGAATAAGTTCTCTTTGTTCTTTTCTGCCAGCAAAACCCAATTCCCATACAAGGAGGCGATGTCGTCTCTCCATTGCTCCTGCTACTACAAGTGCTCCGACTACTGGTCGACACACAGCCACCCATTTGATCAGCCCAAGAAAATACGCATCCGATCGAAAATGAAACAAGGTTCTTCCTTTCACAGTCCAGATCTTGAGTAAGAAAAGGAACTAGTCAACCCCAGAGAAGAGATCATAGAACCACCAAAGATCTTTGCACATGAAAGGATGGCACATCACGCCTCACGAGAGAAAATAAGAATCTCCTCATTATAGATAAAGATAAATGTAGATGCTTTGGTGCTGACGACTCTGACTTGATAATGCAACAAACTGAAGAGAGCGAGAAAACACTAGTTAATTGCATTTGTTTATCTTATTCATCGTAGAACCCAAAGTTGGCCGCAAGTAGAGAACACTCGATAAAAGGAATAACATGACAATCAATAAATAGTCCATGTGAACCATCGAATAGAATATACTCAATGGCTGTCCTGAGCTTTTGTCCTTGATCTGGTTCCACATTTATGCAAGTCAAATGGTCAGGACATGCATATGCAAAGCAAATATTATACCCATTAAGAATCTACTGATAAATATTTAATAGAAGCGGAGAAATCTACAATAAAAGTTACTAGAGGAGTAAAACAAGAACTGGTTTTTATATTACATCAACAAGAAGCTAACCCCGAGATTCCCCATCTTCCATACACGCATCACACACACACACACACACACACATACACACACACATAGTTAAAGACGCTGTCTCAAATTTGTACCTTCAAAAAGAAGGATGACAGAGGAAATCAGAACACCTCCAATTTTTGTGAGTCATAACACTCTCTTTGGTATCACAGAAACATTTTTTAAGTCTCAGAGACAAGTTTTTGAGATTAATAGCTTACAGCCTGAAAAGGAGGGGAAAAAACTGGAAAAGAAAAAGGAAGTGAAATGTCAAAAAGTTGGTGTGATAAACTACAAAGCCGGCGAGAACAGTTTAGCAAGCAGATAAACATTCCAAGATCATTTCCGACCGATTTTTCTCTTTCCCTTTTTTTCGAATTTCAAATCCATGTCAACTGGTTGGCCAATTTTACTTTTTTCTTGTTTGAGCGAGGAAACTTTTTCAAAGAGAGAAAAAACGAACGCACTTTAGTTTTCCACTTGAGAGAAAAAGGAAAAAGAGGAGATAAAGCAAACAGAGTAAAGCAGAAAACGACGAAAGCAAAGCATGGCTTAGTCAAAAAACGAAATCGAAGAGAGCCAGAGAAAGAGAACAGCAGCTCGACCAACATACCACGTAATTCGCCAAATTATCCCACCCACAGAAAGAGACACGAAACTAAAGAACAGCAGAGTCGTGCAAGAAAGAAATGACTAGCACTACGTCTGGTTCCTCGAAAGATGAGAACTTGCCAAAGATTTCCTTCTTGTTTCTGAAAATCGAACGCGATCGGCTCAAACCCAGTAGAGAAACTCAAGCCAAAATTTAAAAAAAAACGCTCTTTACGGGTTCATCCATCATCATGCCAAAAACCCAAGTCCCGCAAACAAAAATCAGAACATAAAACGAAAAGGGTGACAGAGGAAGAAGAAGAAGTAGCGGAAACTTGATCCTAAACTCAGATCTATGCCCGCGACTCGCGCACGAGCTCAAGCGTCGCTGGACAAGCAAAAAGACAAAAAGGAAAAAGCTTTGCACATCACCCATCGGAAGCCAAAGAAAAAAATGAGGGGGAGGAGGAGGAGCTCAGGAGCTCACTGCTTCTAGCATTAGAGATTCAAATGCAAAGTCGTTCCAGAAGAGACAGACTTGGGCGTCAGGCTAAAGTGGTAAAAGAAGGCAATGCGTACGGGATGATGGGTACCTTAAGCTCGGTGAATTTGGGTCTTCGGGTCACACACAGAGGTGAGAGCTCAGGGAAGGGGACGAAACCAGACAGAGAAAGAAGAGAGAGAGAGAGAGAGATTTTGGGTCAATGAGTATGTAAGGAGAGAGAGAGAGTGCATTGACCGTGTGAGAGAGCGAAACCGAAGGAGGAAGAAGAAGAAGAAGAAGAAGAAGAGGAGGAAATGGATGAGGGAAAGGGGGAAATTGGAAATAAATAAATAAATAAAAAAGAGTCTAGACAGAGAGAGACAGAGATTTGGCCGGCAGTTACTGTGATACGCCGGCGTTTTGACAGTTTGTGGCCACCAGATGAATGTGATAGATTTATTTATTTTTGCCTCCTTTTGTTCTGAATTAAAATTTGCTTTACTTTATTCATTGAATTACCTTCTGTGGAAAATATTGTGATGCAAACCCATTTATTGGACCCCAAAAGAGAGAGAGAGAGAGGAGAACCCATTTCATTTTTCTCGATAGAAAAACACATTTGATATTTTTTTTCAATATTAACAAGATTTTTTCGTCCTTCCATTTTTGGATTTTTGGAGAAAAGCAAAATGTGCTTAAAGAAGCCTAAACAAACATGTCTGCTCAGATCTGTAATTTAACAAAATGTCTCTACCGGAATCTTTGTTTTATAAGTGAGCATTTTCTTCTATCAAAATGGATCATAAAAAAGTAAATTTTGTAATGAAGGATTTATTAATGCAAAAGGCACGAGTTAGCGTTGTGTATGATTGTCTTGGTAGTGATTTATCATGATACTTTGCCTCGTGATCAATGATTCGGAAGTTATGTCCGAACTCAATAAAAATTGCTATGAAATTGTTTCAGATATGGTAAATTTCTTATTTCAAGCATTTGTAAGAAATTGTTAGTACTCATTTTTACCGTGTGCTTTCTTAGATGTGGTTGCTGTTGAATGAAGCCTTCTCCATTGAGGTTTTAAATAGGTGTTGGCTTTACTAGGACAATGGAAATTGATTTGCTTCACAGAGAGATTGACCTAAAACTATGCAAAGGAGGAGGAAAGTTCGACCTTGGACTATGCAATAGAAGAGAGTTTGGCCTAGAATTATGTTTTATTTTTTGTCAGAAATCTAGAACTATGTTAGGTTAAAGTGAGGAGAGCTCGGATGATGCCACGCCAGAAGACGTATGACGCCGAGCATGAGAGTGAAGGCTTTTGAAAATGATCTCGTTGTAAAACAAATTAAGAGGGAGCATCGAACCAATTTAACTTGAAAGTTGGAACCACGACCTCGAACTTCAAATAGGTACATAACACAAGTCAACCAACAAGATTTCACTAATCACAAATTACAAAATGTAACAGATGATATGTTATCGTCAATGCCGCCTTTTCCATTATGTCATAGATATAAACTAACTCATTCTTGGGTAAAAAGGTCGATGAATGAACCGTATGTGCTTCATCAGTTCTCATTCTCCTCGAACTCCATGTTCTCCCACTTCCTCCAAATTCAAGGATACTCGAAAACGAAACCTAACCAAACACGTTTGATTTATTGAATTATTGGATAGGTATTGCCTTTAAAAATAGTAAAATCAATCAACTTTGGCTCGGCTTCACATTGCTCCAAAACCCATGACCTTACCACAGTGCTTTCGTATCTAGACACGAGCGATTCTCTCGTTATTATGTTTTAATTAAGCTACAAATTAAATTCGACTTGGTTCTTATACATTTCTGTAATTTGAGATAGAAACAAACATTTCATTCGAAAATGAAAGATGAAGAAACGGGTTTCGGCTATGAGCTCACGCGGGAAAGTCTGACAAAAAAGAGTTTCTGTCCTTGTGGCGCAAGCGACGTGGGACATTTCGGAAATTATATGTATGCCATTGCAAAAAAAAGAAGAAGAAGCTTTTCAACTTGTTCGGAATTTGTATGCACGAGATTAGTTTAATCATTCGGCATCCCATATAATAATCAATTTTGCAAGAAAAAGGAAAACATTTTTGTCCTTCCTACGTCGGTATAAACCTAACCTAATTTCATGGGCCTATCCAAGCGTCGAGGACCAGGCACGAATGACACAATCATTCACGCCCATGCGAGCATGCACTGCTCGTCAATGTTGTAGTACTCATCATACTACATCGCCTCATCATATAAAAAATTTGCAGCTTTGTAATAATTGTTTCATCTTCCATCAAACCCTAAAACATCGCTTTCCTTACTTCCTTTTTTTTTATGACTTTATTCAAAAGGCAAACGAGCCCGATGACCCCATCCCCATGTCACTAGCATAGTCACTAGTCAAGGCAAGTTAGCGTCTTGATGATTACATAACTACTTAACTTGTGGTCACGGCAAAGTGATGAATACTACAATTAGATATTTGCGAAACGGGAGGGAGGTTGATATTTATAATCAAATAGAGGTTCAAATTGTTCTTAACTACTTACACTCGGTGCGAGTGCTCGGGCGAGTTGTTCGCATCGAGAACTTTTAGCGATTTGCGGGACGGTAAACCGAGTCGAGATTGAGAATCAACACGACGAACACTGAAGATAAAGCGTGTATCTTTTATCAGATTATTGAAAGTGCTCAAAATTTCATCTGAACAAGTCAATCGGATATCGCTATCGACCATATTCACTCGGCCCCGATATTTCATTGACATGTAAGGTTCCGGGTTTGATTCGACATCAATACTCTATTTAGAAGCAAAGTGATTTGCAGTCTGGCTCAATAATTTTTCCACGTTACTTAGAAAACAACTTGAGTGTGCAAGTGAATGACCCTATTCTTTTCTTTGGGTCATTGCCAACCAACTCCCAACAGAAATATAGTACTTCGACTGAGATTTATTAACGTGGCTCATTATTGCCGCCACTCCAATGTCTGCCTGTTTCGGGCTGGTGGGTCACAAGCTATCCGCTTCGGACAACTGTCGTAGGAGTGCATCTCTCGCACATATTCTCAAGCAAAAAGGCCCCTTCGAGATATCAACTTGGCTGGACCTCGGTACAACGAGCCATGTGAACTGCTTTTGCTTCGGTGCATCTAGTCAAAGCAAGACATTGAAGACACGCCTCGCAAAAAAAAAAAACAAACACCTTGTCCCACTTGGCAATTGCATGGAAACATGTTGACAATGCAGAGCTCATTCTATGGTGTATAAATAAGCCAAAGTTGCCGCTACCGAGGTGGTTGGTCGAGTTGGATAAGACCTGCTCTCATATGGTTTGAAGCCCTCTTGATCCTAAGTTCGAAATCATGTCACTTCTCGATCTTTGAAAATCCTAGTTTGTGTATGGTGTAGGTTCCGCGTATATACCAAGCGAAAGATAATTCTGCCTTATCCCAACTTGTATCTAGTGGTGCGATAGTGATAGGCTTGTTCACAATTAGGAGTAATTATGGATTTTTTTATGATAACGTCCAAAAGGGCAGTTGATGCTGATCGCTCTTTCCACCATCTTATTTATTAAAGAAAAATTAGCTGACCTTGCCGGGGAGATAGATCAATATGGATTTTCAATTTTTCCTCTTCGGATATTAGTATCACTTTTTTATGTTTTACAAGAGACTTGATCGTGAGTCTGCTGGACTACGAGTTCGCCCAAGCTATGTAGGCCAAAAGGGTACTTTTGAGTGGGGACCTTTGGGCGGGGCACAACTATTTACTTATACGGTCTGACTTGACCCAAAATTTATATATTGCGTTTTTATAATAGGCGGGCTTGGACAACAATTTATGTCCAACCTAATTAGGACTTGGCCTGCATAGACCCGCTTATTGATCACTTCTATTTTAGGGTGTGTGTGAAAGATATGGGATGTATATTGAGGATTAGGATTTTGAGAGCTCTTTCTTGTACTCCAAATTATGTCTAGTAAATTTCCCCCTTTTCCTCCGTCCCGAGAAGTAGGTCACACAACTAAAGCACAAAACTTTCTTATATCATTTCTCCACTCTCGATTTTTTTATTTTATCTCATTTTCGTAACGATTACATAATTGCCAATCCGAGTCTATTACTTCCTTTCTTCCTCACATGAGGGTAATTTTATATGCAGATTTGCATGTTTGATAACCATATTACGAGTTAAAAATTTTAATTTCAATCACTCGATGTCATTAAATGTGTTTGATAACCTTTAACTATATACAACTTAATTGATTGTGTTGACTCAAAAATCACATAATGGGGTAAGTAAGGAAGGGCTTACTTAATTAAGCAATAAAGCATCAATCCAAATTAAAATATTACCAATTATATCGTCAAAACCTCCCAATAATGTTCATTTTCCCACGTTTAATAAGAAACTAATAAAATTCATTATTCAATTTCCATGTATTATCAAACAATCTTTTCTTTTCATTTTCAGTACTTAAAGACTCCAGCACTTAACATTGAGCATCTCAATTTTCAATTTTCAATTTTCAAGGGACTTCTTCTCAAGCATAATTGAATTATTTTGGAGGGTCGCCTGAATCTTCCCCCTGAGAGCAAAGTGGACAAACGACTATGGGCACCGAAACACTTTTTAGCTTTTTCAATACTAAATCAGCTCTCTTTGGTTATTTAAATCATTCCTAGATCATATCCAGACCTTCAAAAGATTCAATTTTTTTTGGCCCCTGGATCTCCATTCCAACTTTAATTTCTTTTTAACTCAAAAGGGTCCATTTGGAAGTATGGTCTCCATCTTCTTTGCCACCTTTTCATCATTCTTTTGCTAATGCTCTCTATCTTTACAACCTATATCGTCTTACTTGTAGGGCCTACGTAGTTCAATTTGTCTAATAACTTTCCGTGTAAATTGGCTTTTGCCACGTACATCCTTAGTGCACAATTTATTGCAATCGCTTTTCTTAATTTATCTTTTGTCTTATAGCGAAAATCTCTAAACCAACCGAATGAGAGAGTATCTTGTATGTCGGATATGTCACTTAGAGTTGACAGATTGAACGTAACTTTAAATTTAAACGCAAAATAAATCGAAAAGTTGTCATATGATTAACATGATCAACTCATCGTGTGAAAGTCGGTCACGCGATGACTACATGGCCACGCAACAATTACGTCAAAAGTTTCTCTCGCAACTAGATAATAATAAGCGACTGATTCGGGAAAAATTACGAATAGTTGGCAATTTGTTATCGTAAATCTTTCTTTTGTGGGCGCTAAACGAAATTGCCGTTTGTGCATGTTATACGCCGATGTCATTATTTGGTGTAACCTAATCGATTCACAAACACCGAGCCAATCCCGTGAGTGATTTTCAAAGACAACATTCCGACACTCGAAACGAGCCACGAGGGATGAGCATGAGATGAGAATCGAAGACAAGCCTTTTTCGGGCAATCATACTGACACGTTTAAAACATTTATTAATCAAAAGCCATCGAATCAAATGAAAGAGCCCTCTCCAAATGGAGTACGCTATTATTTTCATTTCCCCTTTTATCGTCCCACCATTATCATTTGTTTAATCCGATTCTTAGTAATGTCTTTAAGGTAGTGGTCAGTAGGGGGTTCTTCTATAATTGTAGAGATCCTTTTTTAAAGTCAAAAAGGATGGGATTTACGTTTACTACAGCGCAGGAGTACAAAACAAGATGATTAGTAAGTGATCATACATTCTTATCTTCTGCTTTAAGAAAGTAATACTTTCTAGGGCAATATCAATATGTTGACTTTTCTTGATTGGTAGTCATGCGAAGACTTGTACTTTTTTTTTTTGGCCCAAGTCTTGTTCGGAGAAGAAATTGTGAAAGGGCCATGTCGTGTCCGAAATTGTTTGGGCCAAACTCTTGCTCGGGAATAAGGTGAACTTTGTCGGAAATGGGCTTAATTAGCTTGATTGAAGTTGTAAGGTAGCTAGTAATCTGGCCCTCTAGGAAGCCATTTTCCAAAACAAGTAACCATTTCACAAAAAAGAATACATGAACAAATAAAAAAAATAAAGGGTTGGTCGGATCGGGTTTGAAGGGAAAACGACTTTGTCGAGCCCGCCCGAAATAGGACGGGCTTAATCGGGCCTTGCCCGTCCTTTGGGAGATGAATTATAAATACAAGGGCTTGATTCGTGAAAATGTGGAAGTATAGGGACGAAAACTAGAGGTTTATTTTTTCATAGTAGATGTTCCTTAAGTCTCACTTACTTATGCATACAGGTGAAAATGGTACGAGTCTTTTTGCTTGGCAAATGAAAAATTCATAACCGAAACAAGCATACACATAAAATGACGCATAAAATGGTACCTTATTGTGGTGAGCCAAGTGGGAAAAATTATCCAAACAGCCATAAATCTATTGTACGGATGCCAATTTAGTCCTAAATTTTTCAATTTTGCCAATTTAATCTTAACCATTTGCATGGAATTCCAATACAATTCTTTTAGTTAATTTTAGATAGAAATCACTGACATGTTAGTCCAGTCATCGCTCGTCGTCTTACATGGCGCGGCATGCCGCCATGTCAATAATATCTGGAGAAAATAGCTGGAAGGACTACATTGAAATTTCGTATAAGGTAAAATTGAAAAATTTAGAATTGAATTGTCAAAAAATGTACACTTTTCTTTGAGCCACATGTTAAATTTCCCACCACAAATTTGGTGTACCTATAATTTTTCTTCTTTTGAAGGAGACCTTTGAGTTGATGCATTTCTGAATTCCTCAAGAGTAGACCTGTTAAACGGGTGGGTCGGGTCGGGTTTGGGTCGGGTCATAAATGGTCCGACCCAAATTGACCCATTAACCCGTTTATGACCCATTTATTCATAGTGTAAATATCTTGACCCATACCCGACCCGATCCATACCCAACCCATATCCGACCCGACCCATATTGCTAAAACACTTTTATATTTAACCTAATCTAGGAATACTTGTTTCTTATGATTTTTTTTTTAAAATTATACTGCTAAAACATTTTATGCAATACAAAGTTAGTGAAAAATTTTTATAATTTTTTTTTTAAAATGAGGTTCTGTTTGTTTTACGAAAAATGCGACATTTCTAGAAAATATTTTCCATAAAGTCATTATCCAAGAAAATAAAAAACAATTAATATTTTTTTTTAATTTTTTAAATCGAATTTTTAATTATTTTTTATTTTTATTTTTTTCTTTTTCCTTTATTTTTGGCCGATCGCCGGCCGCCGTGGCCGGCGACCGACCACAGGCGAGGACGAGCTCGCCGGAGGCCGGCGAAGCTCGTTCTCGCCGATCTGGCGAGACTCGAGCTCGCCGGCCTCGGGCGAGCTCGACCTCGCCGGATCTGGCGAGGTGGAACCTCGCCCGAGGCCGGTGAAGCTCGAGTTCGCCAGCCTCCGGCGAGGCTCCACCTCGCCAGATCCGGCGAGGTCGAGCTCGCCCGAGGCCGGCGAGCTCGAGTCTTGCCCGAGGCCGGCGAGCTCGAGTCTCGCCAGATCGGCGAGGCTGGAGCCTCGCCGGAGGCCGGCAAGCTCTAGCTTCGCCAGCCTCCGGCGAGGTCGTCCCGCCCCGGTGGCCGGTCGCCGTGGCCGACCACCGGCCGAAATAAAAAAAAAAAGAAAAAGAAAGAAGAGAAAAGAAAAAAGAAAAAATAAAAGAAAAAGAGAAAAATAAAAATAATTAAATTTCGATTTTTTTTAAACATCTTTATAAAAGAGGGAGAAAGTGTGTGGATGGGTCTAGTGGGTGGGTTGGACATGGGTTCCAAACTCAACCCATTTATCTTTAAGCTTTAAAATTTAAAACCCATTTAAGGTTGACTCTTTAAAATTAAAGTGACCCATATATGATCCATTTATTTTTAAATGGGTCATATATGGATTTAAGACCCATTTTGACACCTCTACTCAAGAGCCATACCACACCACAACTCACCAGGGGCAATACACGCAGACGCATGTAAAGATTTCATTGGGTCTGTGCTGATCCATTAAAATCATAAAAGGATAAGGTGATAAGGCCACGTGGCACAAACCCACCTCCGCCTATTTCCAAACCTTCACTAAAAACTACCGAGACTCTCTCTCTCCCTCCCCCCTCCACCACCGCAAACCATGGCCTCTCCGACCCTCATAACCCCCACCGCCACCCCAAAACCCTTCCCTCTCATCAAATCCAAACTCGCCGCCGCACCCATTGCCGCCGCCCCCGCCTCCAATGCCGCATTGCCGAGCCCGCTGCAACCCCGCCGCCGCGAATTCCTATCAATCGCTTCGGCCGGTATCCTCTCGGTCAGGCTGATCGCTGTGGCAGCAGCGGCCCCAGCACTCGCCGCCTCTAACGAGGAGTACGTGAAGGAAACCGAGGAGGTGATCAGTAAGGTGAGGAGCACGATCGGCATGGACAAGAACGACCCCAGCGTGGCCGACGCGGTGGCCAAGTTGAGAGAGACGTCCAATTCATGGGTGGCCAAGTACAGGAGGGAGAAGGCCCTGCTCGGGAGACCCTCCTTCAGGGACATATACTCGGCCCTCAACGCCGTCTCGGGCCATTACATCAGCTTCGGGCCTACCGTGCCGATCCCGGCGAAGCGGAGGGCTAGGATCTTGGAGGAGGTGGACACGGCCGAGAAGGCACTCTTGAGGGGAAGATGAGCGTGCACATTCATGTGAAGGGAAGAGATACCCTTTTTGCATTCGTTTTTGATTTTAGGCTTTGTTTTTTGTACTGTTTTTCTTGGCTTATAATGAGATGAGAAATTCACTTTGTGAAGAGGCCATGAAGTGAGGAGGTTGCAATCCATTAGGATATGCGTTCTTGGTGGGCTGTGATTTGGTTCAATTAATGATGTTCACTTACTCTATGGAGTAGATCATAATTAGGTCACGATCTTCCAACACAAGACTATGCGGATTAGGTTGCACAATAATTCATCCATAAATCGTATGAGGGTATATTGCAAGGTCAATTTTTGTTTTTAATCGATCTAAATAACATGTCAATGTTGAGTATAGATGAAATTGAAAATTTGCACTTTTTGAATTGCATTAATTTTCATATCACATAAATCGACTCGATTAACTTGTTGAATTCATTATCTTCCCTTTTCAATTAGCTAATGAAAGTCATTGTGGGATTTTCGGGTAAGTGTTCTCAACACTTCCCATCCATATTAATTCCCGTATATACATCAGTTAGGGAAGTGGCATTCCACGATAGAAAGATATGTTTGCTATCCTTCCCTTTTATGAGAAATTTCGCAAAGCTGAAGAAAATTATAGTAGAAAACCAGAAAATCCTAGAATGTTGTTTTGACCCGCTTAGTGGAGTGCAAGTATTTTGTTAGGATCCACGTGTGAAATGTGTTAGAAAAGTTCTACATCGGTATATTGGTGTGATGTTGAGTAGTTAATATATTCAAGTTGCCCCATAACTTATTGGCCTAAGCTTTTGCATGAATGTGGGTTCAACTGGATATGTTTACAAGCTTGTATTTGGACTTCCTCTTGGCGATCTCTCCAGGAGAAGGTATTAGGCTTCCGCTGCGCGCTCCCAACACATGGGTATCAAAGCCGATTGTAGATTGGTGGGCCCCTTAATCTGTTCCGGTGTTTGGTGAACATCTTAAGGAATGAATTTGGTGACCAACATGGTTTCAAGGCAGGTGGGCGGTGTAGCAACGCAGTCCTGATGGGAGATTTCATGAGCCTATAACTCATTGTCTTTGGCTTTTGAGTGAAAATGGATCCAATTGTATATGTTGGCGGGCTCGGGCTAAGCTTCCTCTTAGTGATCTTTGGACTTTTACTGCGCGCTCCCAATATATTCAGTGGAGTTTTTGTCACTTTTTCTATGAAAGAATGAATTGTTGCTTTATTCAACAAAAGTAGGGAGGGTGCAAATTTAGCTTATGGCATGTAAAAGTAATTGCACACATGCGTACCGCGTGTGTGAGGACTACTATATATAAGACATTGTGTCTCTATATTGTCACGCTTGTACATAGAGATCTACTAGAACTCCCTAGAGAAGCGATATGAGATTCTTAACATGGAAGACAATGACGGTGAAAGAAGTCGGGAGCAATGATGGTGGTGGGTTGCTTTATGCAGAAGGAGACCGTTGTGCGGCAGAGGCGGTGACGATAGTGGAAGCGAGTTGACGACGGCGATAGCTAGAGATGGAGAAGTTCGGAGCACTTTGGAGCGGCGGTTGATACATTTTGGTTAAGGTGGAGGGATGGTGGGGTGCTAGTGGATTGGCAAGGAGGAGACGGTGGTGATGATCGGGAGTCGGGCCAAATCGATGGAGGTGTGGCGGCAGCGAGGAAGATGATCGATAGACGTCGACGGCGGCGGCGGCGGTAGTGGAGATGGTGGAGCGACAGACTAGACTCACTATTGTGGTGTAACGCAATTATATCCAAAGGAGCAAACATTGGACATGAGATGAAGTGACAATACTTGGCAAAACAAGCAAAATCGATAAATCAAGTCAATCAAAAAATCTCAGGAAATAAAGATAGGGGGTCCATATCATTTTTTCAATTATTGACATTATCCGTCGCATTACTCAAAAATCAACCGATTAAATTTGCCAAGAAAGGGCAATTAATATGGGCAAAATTTAGGCGTGGGCCTCATGGTTTGGATTGGGTTGGGCTTGGGGGTTAGTACTTAAATTGGTTGGGCCATTTTAATGTGCTAGAAAAGATGGAAAAACCTAAATGAGGGGGACACCAAGCACATACAAACATGTTACAAATGAATTATAGAATGAATAACCTAACTTCGTTTCGTACCCCACTAGCAAAATATAAAATTCTTGTGAACATCATCAATTGCCTATTCAGCCCCACCATTGGAGCTGCACATGTTTCGTGAGCGGGTGAGCAATTACCTGTCCCAGGCGTTTTGGTTCTCCATCCTTATCTAGTAAAGCAAAAAACAATTTTCACGTGGAAACCGTCTCCGTCGCACAAATTATCGCCGGAAAAAAAGATTTACAAGCTAAGCCTTTCTACGAGTTCCTCCTAACGCGACGAGCGCGCGGGAGAAAGCATTCTGTGTGACGGTAATCTCACGCTGCTGCGGCGACAACGACGTGACGTGATCGGCCACCCTTCATATTTTAAACCGTAATGTCACGAATCTCATCTCATATCGCGTCGGTTGAGCGTGTTATGCATCCCGCTTTCGATTGTCTTGTCACATCGCGTGCTATAGTCGCGAGCGCGGTGTAACCATAACCATCACACGAAACGGCCTTTTCCAATGAATAGTAATACTGGCTGCCGAAACCGATCTATTCCTTAGCATAATTCAGTTTCCATAGTTGTGAAGAGGGCGTTTCATTGGTCAAGATATTTTCTTTTTTGTGGGTTGATCATTTTGTTTTAGGTGGGTCTATATTTCTTCTTCTTCTTCTTTATTTTTTTTCCATGTTCTTATAACTTGGACTTTGGATTTGGATTTGGATTATACCTAGAAGGGGCCAAAACATCCATCAAAACATAGTCTCTACCGTACATGACATCATGAAGGCATGAAAAATGGTCAAAGCAGAGGGCCCCCACACCCACCACCCCATATGGCCACGGGCAGACACTTGTTTGGTCAGCTTCTCATCCTCTTCCCTCCCTTCGCCATCGCCAACCCCACCAAAAATAAATAAATAAATAACAAAAATAAAAAAAAGATAACACAAATTGTTCATGAACTTTTAATTTGTTCAATGTAGTACTTAAGCTTTCACTTCTCGAACTCTTAATCTGTTCAGTTGTTCAACTCAGTCCTTGAACTGGATGAAAAGTATGATGAGGACAACATATATGAACTAAACTGAACATGTATCAAAAGTTCAAGGATCACATTGCACATTGAGTTATAATTCAGGGAACATATTGGAAAAAATTGAAAAGTTCGAAAAGTTCAGGGATCGAATTGCATATCAGGCCAGAGTTAAGGGACCATACGTACGAAAAGAACACGTCGAGGAAGATTTACAGACATTCTACGTAGTCGGTATATTCTCGTATATTGTAAATTGGGACGAGTGCCTTTGCCTCTCGTTCACGCGGTTTTGCCAGATTCCAAAGCGCTGGACTTCTTCTTCATCGCGAGGCTTTCTTGCAGCAACGGGACAAGGTAAAAGGAGTGACGAACCGGCAATTAGCGAATGGGATTATGCGTAGAGCGGGGTTGGTTTAGCAGTATTGATTAGCTGCTGCTAATAATCTTGGTTTTGGCTTTTGATCGCAGGTGTTTTGCTGTCGGAGCACGTTTTGGGCCTCGTCTGTGTTGACCACAATAGTATCATTACTAATCAGAACAGAGGAAACTTCAGCTGCATCTGCAGACAAATCAGCAGCAATTTTCACTTCCCCACCTCTAACTAATGATGGGCGAACGCTAGCGTAATCGGACCCGATGATTGAGGAGGCGCTATGCGTGGCGGTCCGCCACGAGCGGAGAATATATCTCGATGAGAATACTGACCTCCTTCGTTAGTTTCAATTATTAGAGTGTTGTTCGATATTTTATGATGGGATAACGACACAAATGGTTCTTGAAGTTTGACCTAATGTGTAATGTGGTTCCTGAATTTTTAATTTTTTTTAATGCGGTCTTTAAATTGTAACTCAATGTGCAATGTGTTTCCTGAACTTTTAATTTGTTCAATGCGGTTTCTTAATCCCTGAATTATATGAAAATGTTCAATGTTGTTATCCATTAATTCAAGTTCAGGAACAACATCGAACATCTTCATATACTTTAGGGGATAAGTTAAACATGTATCAAAAGTTTATGTACCACATCGAACGAATTAAAAGTTTGAGGACCACAATACACATTGAGCTATAGTTCAGGGATAATATTAAACAAATTAAAAGTTCAGGAACTGTATTATAAATTAAGCCAAAGTTCGAGAATCGTTTCCGTCATTTTTCCTTCTATGGTATAGGAGGCTAGTAGTTGTATTGTATTCATAGGTGGAAAATTAGATCTGATAATATATTATTGTAAGAACAACGGGTTTCCTTCAATAGTAAATGAATTTGTTATTTTAATGTTAGGACACCTAAAAATAACTTCCGTTTAAAACTATTTTTCTCCTGACCCACCTCGACAATTTCCAATAAAATCGAGATGTCATCGAAATAGGACCCTTCTAATTATATATTGTTTCCCAATTTATACAAATTAATTCTTCGCACGTAATTTATCCAAAGCCTCATGGGACCCTTCTTTTGTTTTTTTCTTGTTTTTTTTTAAATCAATTACAGATAATATTTTTGGATAAAGAAAGGTGGGAGAAGAAGAGTCAAACCAATAATAGATTTTTAATTTCCGAAAGTAACGCGGAAACTCGGAGATACTCCATCTCCATCTTCCATATTTCTTGCAGGAAAAGAATTTCATATTCGCTCTCGGAAAATTTCGGAAATTCGTAGATCACATGCTTCATCCCACCGAAACCATGGACCACTTCCCAATCGATTTCCCAATAATCAATTCGAAAAATGGGGAGAAAGAAAACAGAGCAAGCATTTCTTCATCGTCCTGATGCTCAGGAATTCCCCCCCTGCTTTCTTTAATCAATGGCGACAGCTGAATCCCATAAAATTTGTGATAAATTCTGGCGATCTGATGCTTTCATTGCCAAGTGGGTCACCCGGGTTTCCTCCTCTTTTTCTTCTCCCCCTCCCCCTGGCATTCATTCCACGGTTCTCTCTCGCTAGATTGTTCTGATCTTTTTCTCTCCTCTGTCGCTCTGACCCCTGTTTCAGACTGTCCTTGCTCTGCTTCGCAGAGTCCCGAAACTTCGGCTTCCCTCTCTCGACCTCTGTTTACCCGGGAGCCCTTCGCATAGGGACGGGTGCCTTTGCGACCCGCACCGATCTTTGATGCGGGAAGTCCGCATTTCCTCTTCGAAGTTCGGATTTTTTGCGAGGTTCTCACGAGCTTTTCTGGTGTTTCCCCTGTGAACGAGTCTCGAATTTTGGAGGGATTCTTGTTTTGTAAGCTTGGGTTCGACTTAAAGTCTCGATTTTGAGTGGTCGCGACTCTTCGGAGGAGGGGTTTTGGAGGTTTTTGTTTCGTGGGTATCGATGAAAGCAGAGTCGGCTTGAGTTTTCTTCAAGGTTGGTGTGAAAACAGAAGAGATTAAACAATCACTCCTTGTTAACTTCGCGTTTGTTCCTCTGTCTCTCTGTCCTTGTTCAGTGCTTTCGAAGGGTTGCATGTTACATTGCCAACGAAGACTCTCGAGAGAGACAGAGACAGAGAGAGATTTTGATGTTCCTAGAAAGTAGTTGTAGAAAGTTGAAAAAATAGGAAATTTTCTCTTTTGAGAGATATTTTTGACTGTTTGTGTATATAAAGGGGAGGAGCAATCCCGGTAATTTCTCTCTTCCTCCCCCAGTTTCTCTCTCTGCTCTCCTTTGTCTCCTCCGTGTCCTCCGTTTTCTTCCAGGGTTTGGAGAGAGAATTCTGACAAGGGAAACCTCTCTCTCTCTCTCTCTCTCTGAAATCGTGGTTAATAATAAGGGCGCAATGCAATTGGAATCAAATCTTGATCGCTTCCTACGTCGAACTTCACCAGTAGTTCGATCCCAGTTTCTCCCCCAGGTATGTCTTTCTTCTGATGAATTTATCTTTAAGGCGTTTCCATTGTGTTTAAATGTTCATAGCCAATTTAATTTCCATTTACTGGCCAGAAAGGTTAGTTTCAATTTGCATTTTCTTCGGTCAGTTACTATGGTTTTTCTTTTCCTGTTTGTTAGACTGAGATTAGGAAACTGAATAGCTTGTGGCATCCATGGGAGAGAGAAAAGGTTGAGTATTTCACATTGGAGGATCTGTGGCACTGTTATGATGAATGGAGTGCATATGGGGCTGGAGTCCCCATTGTCTTGAGCAGTGGGGAGACCTTAGTTCAGTACTACGTGCCGTATCTATCTGCGATTCAAATCTTCACCAGCAGTTCGTCTGTCAACCGCTTCAGGTACTTTGTTTTCTGGCTCAATGTGTCAAGACAGTATAATATGTGGAATGTACTTGGTTTGGTCAATGTTGTGGGGTTTTATTTCAGTAATTTCACTCTGCTTAAAGGTGAGAAACAGGTGCTTCTTTGACAGCAAGTGGATCCTGATGGATCATCGATGATTGTAGTCGAGAATTCAGACCATTTTCATGAATCGACTGCACAAATTTAAATCTTTGAGCCTATAAGGATAGATTTTCATCTAATGCTAAGTTTGGGTTGCTCATTATGTAATTGGTATGCTCGTGTCTTATGAATTGCTGTCCTTGTCGAGTTCCTTACGTGTCTGCAAGAAGAATCATACAGTTTCATGTGTGGATTATTTAGAACTGGAATTGCAATAGGTCTTGGGCATACTAGTCTATCTAATCATCTGGCAGTTAATGAATTCATAGTCCTCAAGGTTCTTTTACTTTCTCGTCGGATGGATTTGCTAGACGACCATGAACGAATTAATCTCGTGGGCATATAATTTCAGGGACGACGTGGAATTGGGAGAATGTGAGATTAGGGATTCCTTCAGTGATTCATGGAGCGAGGAGAATGAGAATGAGAAGTTGTGGCGATTGGATGGGTGCTCCTCTGACGATGGAGGATCGGAGCAAGATAGCCCATGGCATCTGAACGAGAGATTGGGTTACCTTTATGTGCAGTACTTTGAGAAATCAACTCCTTGTACAAGAGTTCCTCTGATGGATAAGGTGCTTTTGTCTTTTTATTTCCTCAACTAATATAATGTTTTGTGTTATATACTTTGTTTGCGCATTGCACATCGCATATGTTGTTTCAATCCAAAAGATGGTGAAAGATATGACATGACTGGTGAGTATCCAAGTTGCCTGTAAGGATCATTTTGCATACTTTTCATGACAGGCATCACATAAAGATGTGATGAAACTTTTGACTTTTGAATATAGTGTCCCTTACTTTATATCTTTTTTTATCTTTTCTAGACTATCTTCGATGTGGATTGCAGGTCGCCCGGTTAGCACACTTGCCATGCTTGCAATACATGTGTGTGCACCGGTCGCATAGTTTGCTTTTCTGTTAACTATTGAAGATGCCGCGCTATGATATAACTAACCTTATGTTCATTTCCCCCCTTTCTTCCCCTGTTTTTTCTAGTGCATATGCAATTTTGTTTTGATGTCGAAGCAGAATGATTCAAAATGACTGAAAGACACTGTTTTCTTCTGATTGATTCTACAATATCTTATTTCAGATCACCGAATTAGCTCGAAGGTACCCGGGTTTGAAGTCATTGAGAAGTGTAGATCTATCGCCGGCTAGTTGGATGGCGGTCGCTTGGTCTCTTCCTCTCTCTGACTAACACCCATAATGATGTCTGTCTGTCTGTCTAACTTACTAGACTTTGATCAATCTTTTGATGTCAACAATTTTCAGGTATCCAATATATCACATCCCCATGGGAAGAACCATAAGGGACTTATCCACATGCTTCCTCTCTTACCACACTCTCTCGTCTTCATTTCAAGGTAGTCTATCGATCTACTAATTAATTATTTTGTGCATCCATTTCTATCCGAATGTTTTCGTGCATTGACTCTGAATGTTGCTTGTTGATTTCATTTAAGATATGGATATTGAAGATGACATAGAGTGTGCTCAAAGGAAGAGAAAGGAAGGGGAAGGCATCTCACTGCCTCCATTCGGGCTAGCCACTTACAAGATGCAAGGAATCGTGTGGGCATCGGGGAAGAGTGGCCGGGACCAAGAGAGGCTGATGTCGCTTTCGAGTGTGGCCGACTCATGGTTAAAGCAGCTTAGGGTCCAGCACCCTGATTTCAGCTTTTTCACGGGTTCTTGGCGTGGGTAAGATCCTTAAACCACTCGATCTCCAAGTCGTACTGACGAGTCGCTTCCTTAAGCGAGAGATCAAAAGCTGATTGTCAATTGTGTCCCATCATTACTGGCCCTTTTGAGAGGGTTCTGTGGTGGAGCTCAGTGCCTAGATATGGCGAGACATACGTATATCAAGTGATTTCTACATATGATGGTGTCTGTACTTCTTAGGCCCTAATCGAGACTGACCATGGGGTTGCGGTGGATCTGTATGAGTTTTGTGTTGGGAGGCAAATTGTGACACTTTGACATGCATCATGTGTATCGTGCGATGCCGGACGAATGATTGCCTTTGTTGTGATGTAGCCATGGAGAAGAGGCAGTCCTCTCCATGGTGATGTACCAATTTTTGTATAGATGTATGTAAATCCTCTTTCACGCATTGCATTGGCCTCGTTTATGCACTGCCTATGTACTTTTCTTTTATGGTTTTCTTCATGTTTGGCAAGTATGGTTGTGGAGTTTAGGGGTGTGCATGGTCCGGGTGGGCGGTTCCCACCCCGGAACCATGGACCGCCCGCTACAGGACCGGTTCCAAAAATTGGAACCGAGAACCGCCCGTCGGTTCCATGGACCCGCCCGAGAACCGGACCGCCGGTCCGGTCCGGTTCTTGGGCGGGTCCATGGAACTGGTCTCAAGTTGAACTACCAGTTAAACTACCATGTGCTAGTAGCACTGCACGTGCACATCGGTGACAAACCACCCTTTTTCTACTTTGCACCAGGTATGTAAATGTAGGAATTTCCTTCTTTTTTCATCCCTTAAAAGACCATATCCAAAAGTAAAATCACAGATAAATAGCCCAGAACATGAACTTTACATGCTTTCTGACCAGCACACCAGCATCAGAATTGACGAGCCCACATGTGTATATTGACAACTATCCCGTTATGTAATTGACAATTTAGGAGTTAAGCATAATGCAATAGTTGAGAAAATGCCGATGTCTAATAACTTGTATAAAAACGGAGTCCGCAATTTCATCTTCCGGTGATAAAACATTTCCTCTCGCCGAAATTCTTTGCTGAATCTGCAATGGAATCAAAGTGTTAAATGAAAGATCAGACTAGAGTTTTAAAGATAATGCTGGCATAAGATTGTGAAATTAAGGTCATAAAGGAAAAACCTCTCCCAAATAACTATCCACTGAATCATCAGTTATGGATGCATCAACAATAAAATCATCAGTTATGGAAATACCTCTTGTAAGAACCATATTTGTAGATTATGCAAGGCAAAAGAATTACAAGTACTGCATTATTCAAATGATGGCACCATATTGTTCATCAATTTTTGCTAAAAAAATAACAGAAGTTGAAATTGGTCAACTGTAAAAGAACAGCACTCACCTCATCATGTTTCTCATTTCCTTTTCAGCCCATGTTTTTACCATTTTACTTGGATTATGCTTTCAAATTTACACTCTATGTAGAGTTAATCTCCGCATTAACATGATCCATACCTAACAAAAAAGAAAGATATTAAATAAATCATTCACTCATTATATATACGAAAGAATTACAAGATGAAAAGATATGGACTTACCCAACTCAAACTTTTCTGCATTCTCGATGCACTCTTCAATATTAATCGGCTCAAGAACCGCTCTCAACCAATCTTGAGTGCAAATCAAAGCTTCTACGACTTTAGGAGTTAAAGAACTTCGAAAGCCATCAAGAACACGACCAGAAGTACTGAAAGTTGACTCTGAAGCAACGGTAGTTACAGGAATAGATAAAATATCTCGAGCCATCAAAGATAGGATTTTAAACTTTCGGCCGACATTGCTCCACCACATCAAAATGTCAAGATCATGAGCCTCTTCAAGTTCAGCTTTAAGATACCGATCGAGCTCAGATAAAGAGCCCTCGGACTTTTTTTTCTCCTCGATAAGAAAGGCTTCATAGGACGGCTCTTGCACATAGAAATGCAAACCGCAATCTACCCCTTGATTTCCCTCGTTGTAATGAGGATCACAACTACTACCGGTACTAGTAGAACTCACAAGTTCATTTCCCCAATTTTTGTCACAAGAACCAAGAGAAGCTTTCTTGTAAAATTCAAACAAACGTTCTAGGGAAAACTTCACTGTATCAAACATCTCATCAGCTTTCGCACTATTATCATAAATGAGTCTACAACAATATCTCACATAATTCATCTTTTTTCTAGGATCCAATGTCACCGCAATCAACACCATCAAATTTACTCTTTCAAAACTCCCATAATATTTATCAAACTTGTCTTTCATTTTCGCACCCATAACTCTCACCCTAGAATCCAAAGCCTTCGCCGCTTCTTTCAGATAATTATACAAAGAAGCTATCCCCTCAAAATAGTCACTTGAAGTGACATACAAAGTCCCAGACATTTTGTTGGTGGCATCATAAAACCTCTTCAAAAATTGGGAAAGAATAATGGCATTTTCCCAATCAACACTATTTGGAGTGTCGGAGTTAAGCTCAGTTGAGAAAGAAATATCCTCTTCATCCATCCTTTCAAAAGCTTTTCTAAGCTTTATAGCAGTGTCTAGCATTAGATAAGTGGAGTTCCACCTAGTGGAGACATCAAGACAAACTGAACCCTTATAAGTAATCCTTGAACTCTCAATGCAATCTTTAAATGTTTTAGTTCTCATGGGGGAACTTCTCACATACCTAACCACGTTTCGAATACGTGCAATAGAGTCACGTACCTCAGCCAAGCCATCCCTCACAATCAAGTTTAGTACATGAGCCGTGCACCTCATGTGTAGAACTTCGCCATCTAAGATCAATAGCCTATCTCTTGAAAATTTTTCTTTCAAATAACCAATAGCAACATCATTCGAACTAGCATTATCCACAGTGATTATGGACACTTTTTTCTCTATTCCCCACTCGTAGAGGCATTTCTCAATCATTTTCCCAATATCTCTGCCCTTATGACTAGGCATCACTACAAAATTGATGATTCTTTTGTGCAATTTCCAGTTTTCATCAATAAAGTGTGCAGTGAGACATAAGTAGTTCAAATTCTGAATGGAACTCCATGTATCAGTCGTGAGTGCGATCCTAGAATTAAGCTTACGAAAGGAAGCCTTCAAACTTTTTTTTTCACAAAAATACAACTTCATGCAATCCCGAGCCACCGTAAATCGCGACATATGCTTGAAGAGAGGTTGTAATTGATTGATATAATCACGAAATCCGACACGCTCAACAAATGAAAATGGTTGTTCATCAATTATAATCATTCGAACAAGCATTTGCCTACATTTCTCTTGATCAAACTTCCATGTCGTTAAAATACTAGCACTCCCAGTACTAGTATTTCCCCCTGTCATTTGAGTCCCATCTACTCTATGTGAAGCAAACAATTTTTGCTTCTTATCAATATTGCGAGGATATTTACCGCACTTTCTCAAGTGCTTCAACATATTTGAAGTACCATTCTCAACACTGTATGAATACTTTGCCCCACAATAATTGCAAAAAACTTGAAGTTTCCCATTCGCGTCAGTCGTGCCTGTACGAAAATGAAGCCAGGCCGCTGATTTTCGCTTACTAGGAGGAGGAAAAGAACCAGATACCTTATTTGTGTTAGATGCCTCTTCCAAATCATCTTCACCGTCTCCATGTTCTGGTGATTTTGATTCCATTATCGGCGTTATCGCATCATAAGAGTTCTCCAGTTCCATCGACATATTAGTAGATCATCTGCTCGAATCAAGCAACGCGTCATCAACAGATAAAAGTTTTAGACAAAGAATAACAAATAGAGATCAAATTATTTGAGACCCATGCCTACAGAGTCTACAGACTATGTACTTGTAAGGGATCATATTCATCCCATCTCTCATGGCAGAATGCAACATTCTGCTGAAGCATAATAAGCGCTCTTCACAGTCAATCAACCATGCTAATAGAGATTACATTAGAAACAGCAGTTGGAACCCAAGACACATGAAGAATCAACAGAAACCTCCAAGATTCAAATAAGGTAATAATAGATTGACACTTCGAGCTGAGGCCTACGGCAAAGGATGTGCAGCTACAAAGAAACACAGTCAGCGCATATACTTAAATATGCTTAGGTTGAACCTCTAAGAATCGGAGCTCCTCGGCAGTCCCCAAAAAAGCATTTGTAGGATATCGATCTCCTATTAGATATGCATTAAGCGACACAGCCTCCGCACATAAAACTCCGGCAGTAAAAGAAAGGCTCCGTTCAACAGAAAAATCAGCGTCTGCTATTAATGTAGGCATTGAGCTAGCAAAGTTGTGTCGGATGAATGTGTCTAATCAGGTAAAATGTTGAGATAAACAGAAACAGAATGACAACATGTTAAGTTATAGTAGCTAAAAAACATGCTCCGTCAATGCCAAAGCCAAAGGAGAAGAGTAAGAACGGTCAATATTAAAAAGGCAGCTCATGTTGTCGTCACAGCATCATGCAAACAACTTAAGAGACAAAGGGATTTAGCGAGTAGATTAAAAATTAGGGATTCAAACTTACAGCAATTAGCCAATTGAGGCGACTGAGAGGGCGCGGCCGTGTGGGAGTCCACAGTCGAGGCCGTGAGTTGAGGCCGAGATGGAGCGCCGTGAACAGAGCGTCGGAGACGGAGCGTCGTGAACGGAGCGTCCGAGACAGAGCGTTGTGAACGGAGCGTCGGAGACGGAGACGATGCGAACGAGATGGTGAGAGCTTGAGACGAGAGAGTATTGATCGAGAAGAGTGAGAGAGTGAGGCCGTGAGTCGAGGCCGAGATGGAGCGTCGGAGTGGAGACAATGAGAGTGAGAGAGTGTTTCTCTGTTGATGAAGATTCCAGAAGTGCGACTGTGCGAGAGTGAGGGGAGGGTATTGAGCATTTAGTGATTTAGGGTTTCTATTTTTTTGTAATTAAAATTTAAATAAATAGATAATATATTATAATATTACTGGTCCGGGTGGGCGGGTGGTTGGGTCCGCACCTGGAACCGGGAACCGGACCGGTACTCATCGGTTCCAATAAATTGGAACCGGGAACCGGACCGGTTCCCTTAGGAACCACCGGTTCCGGGCCGGTCCGGTCCGGTTCCGGGCGGTCCGGGCGGTTCCCGGTTTTTTTGCACACCCCTAGTGGAGTTCCTGAAAATTGCTGTATAGTCCTAAATATCTTTTAGACGCGAGAGAGGTAATAGAGTTTTAGAAGTTGCTGTCTGGTAGCAATAAAAGAAAAACAAGGAATGACCATGATTAGTTGAGGGGATTCGTTCATCAATTTTCACGGTACAGAGTGAGTCAGTTCAAGCATCTGCTATATCTTCTTGAACAAGTGAACGGCGGAACCGAACTGCATGCGATGATGTCGTTAAGGGAATCCTCCTTCCTCGACACTCTCTTCCATTCTGCTTCT